TGAAATTGGAAGTACACATTAATTGGGCAATTAGTGATGTCAAGTAAACAGCAGGGTCTGAGTCTGGAGTACAAGTAAGTAGCCGGGTCTCTGAGTATGGAGTATGGACTGGTCATCTAGTGTTCACAACATAAATATGTGTATAGTGTCTCCACAGCAACAAGGAAATGTCAGCTCGAAAGAATCACATGGAGATTTTCATTCTCCAGGTCCATCTTCTCAGAGTGATTGGAAGAGGCAGAGATAAGGGAAGAGAAAAGGCAGCATCAGACAGAGCTCTGGAGCCGATTCCACAAACAGGTTTCATGATGCCTGTGAACACCTAGAACTCCAGCAGGGGACTCAAATGTTCCAAAATATGCGCTGAGACTGTGTGTGTTTTGGAAAAACTCAACATATGGCTCTAACTTTAATAGATTTGATTGAGGATTCCAATGTTAGTGCACTATTATTACTAAGGGCATTTTTCCACATCTGTAAAATGGGGATAATATTCATTGCTTATTCTGAAAATTACAGGAGAAAAGGAAAATACTAAAGAAAGGACTCATAAAACTGTAAGTTAGGATTTCACATCATGAATACAAAACAAACACTCTTTACTTCTTTGACCAGAAGCTAGTCCTTGAACTGTTTCTCTTTATTATTTACCTTCTTTCTTAAGAGATTTAAACTTATCTTGTGGCTTTTTTATTCTTATGGCAATTATGCTTTGATAACTATGAATTATGTTTCCAGGTTTGTTTTAATCATTCATTTTGTCTGTCTTTCATACTCCACACATTCAGTAGCTCAGAAAAAAACTATCACTCTGACTTCAAAATCTATGTAGCATCCAACCACTCTTCACAGCCTCTACCACTAACACATGGTCCAAGCCACGCGATCTCAACTGCCTCCCTGCAGTACCCTCCTAAATGGTCTCCACGCTCCTACCCTGGTACCATTACAATTTATTCTTCATAAGCATCTGGATAGCTCATTAAAAAGTATAAAGCAGACTGGGCGTGGTTGCTCATGCCTGTAATACCAGCACTTTGTAAGGCCGAGGTAGGCAGATCATGAGGTCAAGAAATCAAGACCATACTTGCTAACACAGTGAAAGCCTATCTCTACTAAATATGCAAAAAATTAGCCAGGCATGGTGGCAGGTGCCGGTAGTCCCAGCTACTCAGGAGGCTGAGGCAGGAGAATCGCTTGAAAACGGGGCCTTCTCTACTAATAAAGCTCAAAAAATTAGCCAGGCATGGCGGCATGAGCATGTAGTCCCAGCTACTCGGGAGGCTGAGGCAGGAGAATGCTTGAACCTGGGAAGCAGAGGTTGCAGTGAGCTGAGACTGCGCCACTGCACTCCAGTCTGAGCAACATGAGCGAAACTGTCTCAATATATGTATATGTATGTATATATATATATATATATGTATAGGTATGATATGTCAGTTCTCTGCTCAAAAGCTTACAGTGGCTTCCACCTCACACAGAGTAAAAGAGTAGTCACACTCATCTACAAGACCATATAGAGACTCGCCTCCATTTACCTCACAGATCTTATTTGGTTTTCCTTTGCATACTCTCCGATACTGGCAGTGGGTTCTTGACCCCCAGATAATAGAAATCGACCAATAATCTAAGATGATTTCAGTAAGGCAGTTTATTACATCTTTTGGCTTGAGCAGAAAAGAAGACAGCAACCAGAAGAAAACTATCAGCTGGCTAGTCGAAAGGGAGCTAGTTTAGGTTGTTTTTCTCAGGGCTTCTTCCAGGTGACATCATGGCATGCTTGGGGTGGTCTGTTGGTTGCACCTTTGCAGTCCCTTGTCATGCTTCTTCCTCTCAGGTCTAACTGACATCTTAAATCTCCATCCAAGGGTGTGATTTTTACCATTAATATGAAGCAAAAGTTAGGTTAGGATACTCTAAGATCCTATAGTGCATGTTCATTTAGGGAAAGTTTTTTGGAAAGTCCATATGCTGATGGCCAGGATGTTTGTGATTAGAGTGTTCTATTTCTTTTATGTCTGATTGGTTGGTTTTACCAGTGGAAGCTTCAGCGGCTGCCAGGTTATGGAGGTCGGTGCCACTGCAGTCAGCACAGCATGTAAAGAAGTGTTAAGTGTCCCTTGTCCTGCCTTCCCTTGTCTGCCTCACCCCTCCCACTTTTTCCAGCCACAATACCTGCTTGTTACCTCCTAGTCTTTCCTACTTGGTCTTCTATTTGGAATACTCTCACTTTCTCGGTGTATTTTTTTCTCTATCACTTTATGAGTAAAAATTTCCAAGAACATATCATTAAAATATCACCTGTCCCCACCACATGCAATGACTTTTCCTGCTTCAGTGATCCTCATAATAGATAGCACTCTGACAGACTATGCCTTACTTATTTTGTGTACCCTCTCCAATAAATATAAATTCCATGAACATAGACACATTGTTTTATTCTTTGTCATTCACTGATCTAATTCCCAGAGCATAGAACAAAGCGTGGCACATGCTATGTGCACCTTTTTGTTGCTGTTGTTACAATAACATCCTCATGTAAGTTTTTCTGCTCAAACCACTGCCTTAGCTCCAATAACATATTGTTTTCATACATGAGTTCACACTTTTTAAAAATGACATTTAAAATACCTCCATTTATTTTCCTGATATCAAACTATCACCCTAAAGATTAGTTGCTGGCTAGAAGACAAATCTGATTTTCAATGGAATTATCACTGTAAACAAGCGATTTTTTTTTTTTCTTGGCAGTGTTTCTCTGTTGCCCATGCTGGAGTGCAGTGGTGCCACTTTGGCTCACAACCTCTGCCTCCCTAGTTCAAGCGATTCTCCTGCCCCAGCCTCCCAGTAGCTGGGATTACATGTGCTGGCCACTGCACCCAGCTAATTTTTGTATTTTTAGCAGAGTCAGGTTTTCACCGTGTTGGCCAGGCTACTCTTAAACTCCTTACCTCAGGTGATCAGCCCTCTTCCTCCTCCCAAAGCCGTGGGATTAGAGGCATGAGCCACTGTGCCTAAGCTAAACCAGTGATTTTTCTACACCTTGAGTTTAAATGAATCAGATATCATGCGCCTTTCAGTGCAGTAGTTTATACATTAAATCTATAAACTGTTCCTGACAGGCATATTAAGCTGATTTCAATTAAATGTATGGAAGTCTAGAAGTCACTTGTACTTAACAGGACATAAAAAGTAGAGAAGCCAAGTAAAATGACTAAGAATCAAGCCAATACAAAACAAACAAAAACCCACTACCATTCTGTAAGTCTGGTCTCCAACAAATCAATGTCCAAAAATGGTAAAGTAGGGGAGAGGAGCCTGTTTTATATAAGAATAATGGAGACACAACCAGTTACGGCTGGATCCTTCTATGAACAAACCACATCTCTAAGACATTCAGGGCATAACTGGGATGTTTTGAGTACATGTCCTCTGTGAACCAAAGACCATGAGATCAAGGAGGAAGTAATAAAGCCTTTATTTTCAGAGGGAGAAGCAATCCCAGGATGGGGTGAGGACTCCGCGGCAGCGAAGGGGTGCTGGAATATATATATGCCTTACAGAGTCAATCTTACATGCAAGTTGAGTAGGGTTGGGAAAATTTATGAATATTCATGAGGAAAGTCAGGCAGTTGTACTTTGGGAAAACATGTAACATACATTTCATATTAACTATGGGGAGAATTTTGAGCATTAAAATGAGGTGGAATTCAGCTGTGTCAAAAGGCGAACTGTAGGGCACAAAGACAACTCGCGGAGTCTCTACAAGCTGGTTGAAACTGGCTGGGGGTCTATGTCCACTTACCAATAACGAATACCGATAAAAACCGGCTCTGTAATTGCAGTAGTGGCGAGTGCAGAGCAGGGGAAAGGGGTTTTTGGCTGGTCAATCAGAATCCGTTGGAAAATATTTTAACTATAGTTATTTCTACAACGCTTTCTAGCAGTCGGTTTCAGCTTACATGAAAAAACCATGTGGTAATTAATAACACTAGGATAACCAATCCATTTTTTTCTGCTAGCCATTCGACTCATCATGTGGGGGTACTGTAGACGCAGGAATTTGGGGTATAGCGTCCTGAAGGCGTATGTATGCTATAAAAACCATCTTTGCTATTAAGTGATGTTTCTATACTGTTGTTCACTAAAATAACATCCTATTTTTTAAATGTCTTCGTTACCTCCGGGGTTCAGTCTAGGTCCCGCTGCTCTCCAGAGAATGTCAATTATTTTAGAGGAAGTAAGGCTTTAACCCAGCGCCGCCGCTTAGGAGAGGAAATTACAAATCCTTCTGCCCGACCAAAATTGGGTCGTTTATGTAAGGGAAGAGCAAGAAAACAGGAATCTGGGAAGCATAAGGAAGCAATCATGCCGCGATCTGCTGAGTTTCAGTTCCTTGCCTAAGGCAAGTACGCGTTCCTAAATATTTGGCTATGAGAAAAATGTTCAATTTCAAACTGCAAGGTTTAAAGCGGGTCCAATTTGTTTATTGAATAAACGGCAGACATTAGGACTAATGAGGGACAATTGGGCTGGCTTCAATTTAATAAACCAAAATACATACTTGCAGGGTCTCACGAGAGCTTATTTGCCCGAGGCTGCTGCACACCAGAAACTTGGTTCTTAAAGGAAGTACTTAAGGGTTGCGCTCCTCACCGAAACAATTCATTGCGATAGGTCGCGAGTCCGGCGCATGGCCGGGCACGGCTTTGTTCCTCGCTGTCCGCCATCTTGAGCGGCTACGTAGAAGTTTGCCAACTTCCTCTGGAGAACCATGTAGTTAAGTACTTAAAAGCGATAAGGGAATCGGAGTTGAGACGCCGCTACTCTAGTCTCTGCAGGGCACATAAGGCGTGACCACCTGGTGAAAAGGCTACAGCTAACGTACCCACTGCAATCATGACGCACCGTAGCCCAAAAAATCCTGCGCTGTAACTTAATGTTTTGGGACACACACACACACACACACACAGAAAAACGAACAGCCAACGCACACGTACCTGGTTACAAGAACGAGCGGTTACCGGAGAAGTCACTAGCTCTTTTACGGGAAGGTGTGGGCGGCCCTGAAAAGGGCCTTTGGTTTGGGGAGTCGCGGTGTTGAGGCGTCTGACCGGGAGCCTTAGCCGCCGAAGCCGTACAGAGTGCGTCCCTGCCGCTTCAGCGCGTACACCACGTCCATCGCGGTCACGGTCTTGCGCTTGGCGTGCTCCGTGTAAGTGACCGCGTCACGGATCACGTTCTCCAGAAACACCTTCAGAACCCCGCGGGTCTCCTCATAGATGAGGCCAGAAATGCGCTTGACGCCGCCGCGACGAGCAAGGCGCCGGATGGCCGGCTTCGTAATGCCCTGGATGTTGTCTCGCAGGACCTTACGGTGACGCTTGGCGCCACCTTTACCCAGGCCTTTTCCACCTTTGCCGCGACCAGACATGGCGACTACAACAAGGAAAGAGATTGGAAAAAGCTGAAGGGCAGGCGAAGGCAGTACCCTTATATGCCCAGAATGCGGACCTAATAGGAAACTGAACACGCGCATCCGGGAACTTTGGTACCGCCTGCTGGCCCCACCCCTCAGCCCAGACCGGCATAACGTCACCAACGCTACAGTCTCTGTCAGCACTCCGTGAAGGCGTCTGTGCAAGTGTTGCATCCCCAAAGAGGAAATTTAGGGCTGTTTTAACAACTAAATGAGATTAAGTAGATTAACATGTTTAAGTTAATCTCATTTGCTGCTTGGGATCCTCTAGGATGTTTGAATCCGAGTCTCCGCTGTCACAAGGTGAACTGGAGCAGTCTCCCTTATGTTCAGCTTTGTCCCCCTCCCGCCCCGGTCACATTTCTACTGCTTGCTCTCTTGGTGATCGAAACCCCCTTAGGAAGTGTTTGAAAACTGCAAGACCGCACCCTCTTCACCGTCAAGCCACGGAAAATCTGACCAAAATAGTTTTCTTCCCAAAGAGAAAAGCATGTATATTAGTGATTCGATTGAGGAATTCTGGTCCTCGCTGTGGAGACCTGTGTTCCATTTCCGGCTTCTTTTTCTACCTTCATTGTTTATTGGAATTTATAATTCTTATTTAAATATGTAGCTAACTCGCAAATGTCAACACTGTAACTCAGCCGGGTGCGGTAACTCTCGCCTGTAATCTCAGCACTCTGGGAGGCCAGGGCGGGCGGATCAGGAGGTCAGGAGTTCGAGACCTCTGGCCAAAATGAAACACCGTCTATACTAAAAATATATATATATATAAAAAGCTAAAAACAAAATTGCTTGCGTGCTTCTGCTCGCCTGTAATCCTAGCTCCTCAGGAGGCTGAGGTAGGAGAAATGCATGAACCAGGGAGGTTGCAGTGAGATAAGATCGCACCGCTGCAGTGCAGCCTGGGCGACAGAGCAAGACTCTCAGAAAAACAAAACAAGACAAAGAAACAAACAACAACAACAACAAAAAAAAAAAACAGTAATTCACTGGTGTGTTATTTACTTCTCTATTCTTACTTTTCTCTTTGATGCTGGTAGCAGCCTTTGTCACAACAGAATTGGCAATGTGTAGTCCTAGGTATTAAACAGGTGACTGCCCAGACTTTTAGAAGAAAAAGTGGCGTTAAGACTCAGAAAACAGTACTGCAAAACGAAGGCCTCAGCAGTGATGTTTTTCTCTTTCTTCCACCTTCCTCTCTCTCCCGATTCTGCCCAGAAGCTGTAGGAACTGAACTCCTTCCTCCCCCAGATGGAACATATAAACCAAATTAGTCCCAAAGCTAGCCATAAAACATAAAAAATAACCCCTCCAATTTTCCTTCTGTTTGTGTGTGTGTGTGTGTGTGTAAGTGTGTATAAACTGAACATAAAGAAGTTATCTGGCCTACCTCGGTTGACTATAAGTCATAAGACTGTGTTTCCAGAGAGGGTCCTATCCCATGCACACGGGGAGAGAATGCTGCCTACAAATCCCAAGAATCTGGACAGACAGACCTTGTTGGGTTTCTCCACTTAGTCTAGCATAGCTCATACCCTTTGTGTCCAATCATATTTCTACACAGCTGTCCATACTTTGAACCTAAGCATAAAAATGCATGATTTCACCTGTATCTTTGGGTCTTCAGTCTGAAGGCTCCTGTATACATGTTAGTTAATTTGTATGCCCTTTTTCCAAATAATCTGCCTCTTGTTAGTGATTTTCAGCAAATCTTTAGAGGGCAAAAGGAAAACTTCCCCTTCACACATTTATTTACTAAGTTTTTTTTTTTTTTTTTTTGCCATCTGGATGCCATGAGGCTGGGAAAATTGGGAACATGGGAGATGCTAGAAGGAAAGAGGTTACAGAACTCTGTTCCTGTCGGTGTTATTCAGCAATTTTTTCCAGTTCCCAACTTTTCCCCCTACACTCCCAGAATCATCTTCACTGTGCGCTCCTCACCCTGATCTCACAGAGTTCTGAACCCCATCTTCCCATGCCTGCCCTCCAAACTTCTAGGTTGTAATAATGCCACATTTTCTTTGTGCCACCTCCTTCATTTGTCTCCTGATTCTGTTAGTTGTCTCTGGAATACCCGTGTATGCTTTTGTTTTTCAGTCTTTCAGTACCTGTGTAACTTTTATTAACTTATCTTTATAAAAATGACACAGTTGTTTTGGTCTTCTTGACTGGATATTGACTGATATGTGGCACTGAGCATCCTTTAATTTAAAGGGCCTTTTCTACTTTACATTGTAATTTATTAGCTAACCGAGCTTCCTCTTTGTCGTCAGGGACTTTGATGATCATACAAAACATTTTCCCTGACTACAAAAAGCTAAGTGTGGGGAGGGTTTGTCACTGTGTGTAATATTATACTTGTGATATCACTAACCCACATGGAATAAATATGTATAAAAAATTAATTGAAAGAGCCTGAAGTGAAGTAAATTTGACTGCACCTTATAGGCCCACTTTTCCTCTCCTAGCGGAAGTAAGCCACACTTTTTGACTGACTCAGGACACTTCAAAATTAATAAGGAATCCACCAGGAAAATGGATGTAGCCTAGTGCCTAGGAAAGGAGGTAATCTGTGTAAAAGTAGAGAGATCCGTAGTGGTGATTTTTTAAAATTCTATCAATCAAGGGATTTTGTTTTTAATTTTTTGAGACAGAGTCTCCTTCTGTCACCCAGGCTAGAGTACAGAGGCATGATGTCAGCTCACTGCAACCTCTCAGGCTCAAGAGATGCTCTTACCTCAGTCTCCCAAGTAGCTAGGACTACAAGTGCATACCACCACACTTGCCACATATTTTTTGTATTTTTATTACAGATGGGGTTCGGCTATGTTGGCCAGATTGGTCTTGAACACCTGGCCTCAAGTATTCTACCACCCTTGGCCTTCCAACGTACTGGGATTATACGAGTGAGCCACCGCGCCCGGCCCCATCTAGACGTCTTAAAAAACTGTTTTTTAATATTTAATTTTTGTGGGTGTATAGTAGGTGTTATCTATTTATGTGGTACATGAGATATTTTGATACAGGCATGCCGTGTGAAATAATTACATCATGGGAAATGGGGTATCCATTCCCACACACATTCATGCTTTGTGTTAGACAATCCAGTTATACTCTTCTAATTATTTCAAAATGTACAACTAAGTTTATTAAGACATATATGAAAGAGCATAGCATCAAAAAATTATGGTTGGAAATACAATAAAAATTGTGGTTGGAATTTGAATTCTAATATATAAATGAACTGTTTTTCACACTCTTTGCTCCTTCCCTTTAAAGTGATAACATTGCTAACATTAACTGTATTGCCATTTTTGTGAAAACAAATGCAATAACTACAATAAAAATAAACATTTTAGAGTATTTTTTTCATCGAGTTATTTCTACACATTGTGAAGTAATTTTTTCATCAATCTCATATTTAGAACATAACTGCAAGGTTTCTGAAGTATTATGTATTATAGTAAGAAGTAATAATAATACTACAAATGAGCGGAGAATGTGGTGCTCCAAGACGATAGGATTTCTACTGTGAAAACCAAATCAAATATGGAGAAACTAAACAAAAAGGAAGTGTAAATTGCTGCAGTTAAAATCCCAGCAATATCAAAATTCGGTTACTCTGTGATATTTAGGAAAAATTTACATGCTTCTATAATAATTTTAATAATATTTACACATTTGCATTTATATAAAATTATAATTTAATAGAACATTAGCTAATGTATTACTCAGCTCCTGAACTTGTATGGGTATATTGGTTTCCTATTGCTGGCTTGAAAACATCACATTTTATGATGAAAAGATATAAATTTATAATTATATAGTTTTTAAAATTGGGACTCAGTCACAGATATTACTGAGTAAAAGAATCAAGGTGTTGGCTTATATTAACTAAAGAGCTAAAGAGCTGGTATCTGTTCCCTTGCCTTGCTACACCATAGATGCCACTCTATCATGGTCCTTTTCTTTCATTTTCAAGCCAGCAATCTATGGCCAAATCTTTCTCTTGCTGCCATATCTCTAGTTCTCTATTCTAATTCTCTCTTCCATTTGTAAGAATCTTTGTGATTATATTGAGTTCATTTGTAACATCCAAGATAATCTCCTTACTTTAAGGTCAGCCAATTAGTGGCCTTAATTCCACCTAAACCTTAGTTGCCCTTTGTCACAGAACCCAACAAAGACTCCAAGAATTTTCAGATTTCAGGGATTAGGATGTGAACATCACTGGGGTAGCATTTTTCGGCTTAATGCAGTATGTCACAGTATTTTTAGAATCTGATAGAAAGGTATGTAATTTATGTTCTGGGAAGGGGAAACAGATATGGCCACATTTTTGCATGTAATTTCAGAAAGATGTTCTATTCCATTAAAGCTGATGTAGACCTTAGTTTAGATATTTACTTTTGAAATGACAGAAAGCAAAAATTGGCTCCATACCAATTGCAATTTGCACATGAAGCTATTTAGTATTTTCAGTTTTTGTTTTTCTAGGTTTTTCTTGCTGCTTTCATTGTTTTCATTTGGGTTTTTTTTTTTTTTTGAGATGGAGTTTTGCTCTTGTTACCCAGGCTGGAGTGCAATGTCGCGATCTCGGCTCACCGCAACCTCCGCCTCCTGGGTTCAGGCAATTCTCCTGCCTCAGCCTCCTGAGTAGCTGGGATTACAGGCATGCACCACCATGCCCAGCTAATTTTTTGTATTTGTAGTAAAGACTGGGTTTCACCATGTTGACCAGGATAGTCTCGATCTCTTGACCTCATGATCCACCCGCCTCGGCCTCCCAAAGTGCTGGGATTACAGGCATGAGCCACCATGCCCGGCCTTGGGTTTTGTTTATTTGAATGTTTATATATGCTCTGTATGTACTGCGTTCTGTGTCCATTTATGTGCTTGTTAGGGAGTGGGAAATTGAAAAAATTACAGACCAGGCGCAGTGGCTCACACCATTAATCCCATCACTTTGGGAGTCTGAGGGAGTTGGATCATTTTTGGTCAGGAGTTGGAGACTAGTCTGAGGTCAGGAGTTCGAGACTAGCCTGGCCAACACACAGAAACCTTATCTCTACTGAAAATATAAAAATCAGCTGGGCGTGGTGGTACGCCTGTAGTCTCAGCTAGTGGGGAGGCTGAGACAGAAAAATTGCTTGAACCCGGAAGGCAAAAGTTGCAGTGAGCCGAGATGGTGTCATTTCACTCCAGCCTTGGCAACAATAGCAAAACTCGCTCTCAAAAAAAAAAAACAAAAGAAAGAAAGCAATAATATAGAATACTTTTTCTTAACTGGGTTGAAATTCTAAGAATATGTTTTACAAAATATTTTTAGTATTTTTAAAATACAAAAATTTTGTAAAAATTCTATTCTATAATAGATGCCATTTGTAAGTTTATGATCTTAGGGTTTGTAATTACAAGGAATACAGTAAAACTTCAGTATTGTTGTATGATTACATAAAATAAGAAAATTGTGACTTGTAACTAGAGTGACAAATTATTTTTCATTTAAAAATTGCAGCTTTTGCCAATTAGAATAAAAATGAACACGTGATGTCCACCTTGAAGGACAAAGTCACAAACTGAAAAAAGTTGCCAGAACATATTTTAGGGTTAGAGGTGTTTATTTCATGGACTTCCAATCATTACTCCCAAATGGCATTTTGCCAGTGGCCAAGCTAAATCAAGAAAAACTTTCATTGTTCGTGTTGCATCCAGGTACCGGTGTTCGTATTTCTCAATTTTCATGCCCATTATTTGTGTTGGTTTCCTTGTATTATGAAGAATTAAATTATCTTAAGCAGGTAAATCCACCAGTGCTGTAATGACTAAACTGGAATTAATACTTTTTCACTCACAGAATAGCAAAATAACTATTACCTACTTTCCAAAGTTCTTTCCACTTCTTATAAAACCAATTTGACAAGGGACGCATCACAACACTAAGAAAAATATGCATATCGGCACAGTGGGCTAACCTTGTATTCAGCACTTGGGATCAAACACGTACCAGTAACCTGCAATTAAGCACAGCATTTTGCGTTCAATCAGTCAATAGACTCACACACCAGCAAACCACACAAAACGATAAAAGCAAACCTTTCGGTAAACACAGAAACTATGCAGGTAATTACAACTCTATGACTGAAAAAGTGGGTGGCTCTTAAAAGAGCCTTTGGGATTGCGTATGAAGACCTTAAAACTACTTAGAACTGGTGTACTTGGTGACGGCCTTGGTGCCCTCCGACACGGCGTGCTTGGCCAGCTCCCCAGGCAGCAGCAGGCGCACGGCCGTCTGGATCTCCCTGGAGGTGATGGTCGAGCGCTTGTTGTAATGCGCCAGGCGGGAAGCCTCGCCCGCGATGCGCTCGAAGATGTCGTTGACGAAGGAGTTCATGATGCCCATGGCCTTGGAGGAGATGCCGGTGTCGGGATGCACCTGCTTCAGCACCTTGTACACATACACGGAGTAGCTCTCCTTGCGGCTGCGCTTGCGCTTCTTGCCGTCTTTCTTCTGCGCTTTGGTCACCGCCTTCTTGGAGCCCTTCTTCGGGGCGGGAGCGGACTTAGCGGGTTCCGGCATGATAGAGAAACACTTAGTAGACAACCTACAAATGACAAGTGTCCTCTACTGCTGGTAATATTTGTAGCGCTTCTATGCAAAACTGGTGTTTAAAAACGTAGACATTGATTGGCTAAATTGTCTCTGGATGCTCTGTGATATGCAAATTAGATGTTTCTCACCGTTCTTCGCAATTGGTTGATTGTTTTAGCCAATGAAACAGCATTATTTACAATGCCACCTACAAGTATAATAGTTTCTCACTTGCTAATAAAATTCAATTTCACATTTTCTTTTCCGCTACTGTACATCTTTGGCAAGGTATCAAAATGTCCGGACGTGGAAAGCAAGGTGGAAAGGCCCGAGCTAAGGCTAAGACTCGCTCTTCTCGGGCCGGCCTCCAGTTCCCTGTGGGTCGCGTACATCGCCTGCTTCGCAAGGGGAACTACTCTGAGCGGGTCGGGGCCGGCGCGCCGGTCTACCTGGCAGCGGTGCTGGAGTATCTGACTGCTGAGATCCTGGAGCTGGCAGGCAACGCGGCCCGCGACAACAAGAAGACCCGCATCATCCCGCGCCACCTGCAGCTGGCCATCCGCAACGACGAGGAGCTCAACAAGCTGCTGGGCAAGGTCACAATTGCTCAAGGCGGTGTCCTCCCCAACATCCAGGCGGTGCTGCTGCCCAAGAAGACCGAAAGCCACCACAAGGCCAAGGGCAAATAAAACGAGCACGCCTATTGGATCTTTTCGGAGACAATCTTAACCAAAGGCTCTTTTCAGAGCCACCTATGTATTCATTAAAAGGGCTCACATGTTCTGTTAGGTATCTTACCGTTTTCCTTAGTAATTTTTTCACCTACCTAAGAGGGTGTCCTTACACTGTCAGTCATGAAATTAACGATCCATTTTAAACTTGACATTAAAATGCTTAAGCCTACTGGCCGGGCGCTGCGACTCCAGCCCCAGTACTTGGGGAGACCTAGGCGTGCTAATCAGGAGGTCAGTAGTTGGAGATTAGTCTCACCAACGTGGTGAAACCCTGTCTAGTGACTTAAAGCTACAGAAATATTTTTGAGACAATCATTTGCAGTTGTAAGGATTTTTTGGGTCTGTTTCTGCTTTTTGTGTGCCAGGTTCAACTCACCTTAGCTAACACTAACTGTAAATAATACAAACCTACATCCCCTGGAATCCGATGGCCCTTAAGTGGAGCTTCTTTACAGCGTTCAGCATTGATTAAAAGCGTACACTTACCTTTTCGTGCCATTTATAAATTTGGCTTTTTTTTTTTTTTTAACGCAGATGACACAAATACCAACTGAACCTGTGAAAGTGCTTTTGTAGAAGGATGTCATATTAGTGAAATCTGTGGTCCTGTACATTAACATCAGGTTTAAACACTGTTACTTCTGAGTTAACAATCTTGGAGCATTTGGAATAAATTACTTTAAAACTTCTGCACACTCCAAGTTTAAATAGACACATTGAAACATTAAATTAGCCTTTCTAAACAGAGTAAAAAAATCACTTGGCCAATCACAACTAGCGCGCGTCTTTTGAAAACACTGATCAAAAAACAGTTTCAGGCGCCAACATTTAAAAAAAATTGTCAAGATATGTTATCCCAGTAGCTAGTTAAAATTTTGTGGAGGAAAATCAAGGAAAGTCTGAAATAAAAGTGATGAAGATGGCACAGAGATAAAGGTTGAAAACACCAGCAGTTAAAAGGAACGGACGGAAGAAAGTTAATAGTTGGTCTACAGACAGATTCTGTTCGGGAGTGGGCGTCTCCACCAATCGAGCCTAAGGGGAAAGACTGCCTTGTCCAAATTGTCCAATCAGAACAGGACTGTCTTTATATATACGGGTAGAAAAGGATAAGCTTTCGTTTTTCGTCATTTAGGCGGGTTCAGAAGTTCGCAATGGCTCGTACCAAGCAGACAGCTCGCAAGTCCACCGGTGGGAAGGCGCCGCGCAAGCAGCTGGCCACCAAGGCTGCTCGCAAGAGCGCTCCGGCCACCGGCGGCGTGAAGAAGCCGCACCGCTACCGCCCCGGCACGGTCGCTCTCCGCGAGATCCGCCGCTACCAGAAGTCGACCGAGCTACTGATTCGCAAGCTGCCATTCCAGCGTCTGGTCCGTGAGATCGCGCAGGATTTCAAGACCGACCTGCGTTTCCAGAGCTCGGCGGTGATGGCGCTGCAGGAGGCCTGCGAGGCCTACCTGGTGGGGCTCTTTGAGGACACCAACCTGTGCGCCATCCACGCCAAGCGGGTGACTATCATGCCCAAGGACATCCAGCTCGCTCGCCGCATTCGTGGGGAGAGAGCATAAATTGTCTTGTGAATATGTGCTAACGAAAACCCAAAGGCTCTTTTCAGAGCCAACAACCTTTTCTATAAAAGATGTTGTGTACTGCTGCTGTCCGTAAACTGGAACCTCTGTTAAGTCCGCGTAAATAGGCATTCTATCCGTTTCCCCTCCCATCACGGAATTGTCGTAAAATGTTCTGTAATAATTCGTCAGCTCTTAAAATAGCCTTTAAGCTACTCTAGTTTTAATTACTCTGTTTTGGGTGGCTGCTTTGCGAGGCCCGGATGTCTCATGCTAGGGAACCCTGGATTTAGTAAGATTCTTGGCAATCTTCAATCAACTTAAACCTTTTTCTCCAGCAGCCTCTACCCGTAAAAGCCTTTGCGGTCTGCTTAACAGTCTGCGTCAAGGGTGCCCCACGCTTTCTCGGGCCTCTCGGCTGCCAGGACAGCTGTATTGGGATGGCTGCAGCTGCTCTTTTTGCTTTGGTTTTACTTTTCTCATAGACCTCCTTGTTTAGCTGGAATGAACCCGAGAGGCTGCTCTCCTTAGCACGAAGCTACCCTCCTTCGTTTTCAAGGCCCACCTTTATTCAAATAATTTTAAATTTTATTTAATTTTAGGGATGCGGTTGCTCACTGTTATGCACGCGGGTCTCAACTAGTCAGCTTGTCCGGGCGCGGTGGCTCACGCCTATAATTCCAGCACTTTGGGATGCGGAGGCGGGTGGATCACGTAAGGTCAAGAGTTCGAGGCCGGCGTGCCCAATTCAACGAAACTTCGTCTCTTCTAAGAATACAAAAATTAGCCGGGTGTGGTGTCACGCACCTGTAGTCCCAGCTGCTCGAAATGCTAAGGCAGGAGAAGGGCTTGAACCCGGGAGGCAGAGGTTGCAGTGAACTGAGATCGTGCCACCGCACTCTAACCTGGGCAGCAGAGCTAGACTCCAAGAAAACGGAAAACAAAAAACACTACTAAAAACAATTCCTCAGCTTAAGTGAATCCTCCCGCCTTGGCCTCCCAAAATGCTGGGATTACAGGCGTAGGCCACCGCGCCTGGCAAGACCCGGTTTAATGCGGCCACTCTTCACATCATAGCAGCCAATACCTTGAGTGAGGCCACAGACAGGACTCTGCGCTTCTTGGAGACAGCTAAGTCAATAGTGATGGGCTCAGACACCGATGCCCTGGACGTCTTGCGCTTCACTGCACCTTCGGACTTGCAAACCTTTTTCTTTACTTCAGTCTTTGACCTGAGAGATAGACCAGAAATCACGGCATATACAGTTTCAGGCATGATTGTAGGTTTGGATATCTAACAGTTAAAAAAAAAAAAATCAGGCTGTAAGTGTGTCACTGATTACGTGTAAGTCACACACAGACACGCTGGGCGCTGATTGGTTCCCAGCTCAGTCTTTCAGCTTGGCAGCAACGTAGTCTCAACCCTGTCTCTGAACTGAGTTTTCTGGAATTCAGAAAAGCAAAATAGTTTAAATTTCCTCAGGAGGAATTACACCAATTCTATTCTACAATGAACCTGGACGGCTAAGGGTTTATGATCTTTACGTTTTTCTTTCTCTAGTTTTTATTAAGGCAGCCTCAGCCTTTGTCGAAAGCTCTGACTTTCAGAAATTCACAGTTACAGAGAGACAACTTATTGATTTTAACATATAAATTCTTCCATTTGTGTCTCCAATTGCTTGCTGTCTGGTAACAGCCTACACATTTTTGACTTTTCATACATGAAACAACTGCTCGATTTTCATTGAGATTTAACCAGAAAATATATTTTTTATGAGAAAGGAAGTAACTGGGTTTTTTGTTTTTTTAATTTTTGTACAACAACAGGAATAAGGATATTTAGAACAACAGCTCTTTCTGATAAAATTAGTTGGGGCTGAAATGTTTTATGATGGCTTCTTATGACTATTTGGAGGTTTACTTAATTTGGGAGTGTTCACGTGAATGTTCAACGATTCCCTGGGAAGATGGGAATTACAATGATCAGTGATTCTCCTGGCGCTGGGACTGCTGGCATAGTGCACTCAGGAGAGATCCAAGAAAGGGCATAAAAGAGAGAACTGGACTCGTTTATGAGTAAAAGCAGATTTAAAAAAAAAAATTACTGGGGGAAATTAGTGACTGAAATGTTCATAGGATTTTGTTTTCAGGGGTCTGTCATGCTTAAGGACAGGAAGATAGACTTTTGCAAAATATTCCAGTACCAGGATCAAGAAATATATACACACAAACACCACACATATGAAATTGTCAATAGAGAGATATTTTAAAAACAACCATGTCTTATATTCAGTACTATATTTCTTGTTTAAACAGGCTTAAAGTGAAAGAAGTACACCTCATGTTCCATATGAAAAAAAAATGGAATGATGGCAAAAAGCGATTTTACTGATTTTTCTTCAGTCCTCAGTGCCTTGAACATCTGTTGATCTGGGGAGCATGTATAATTCTATGTCTTACTAAGACTGTGAAGGAGAAAAATGCTGGGAACACATTGAACAAAGCACAAAAGTTGAGGGTTTCACACTTTTTTAATCCCATCAAAATTAACAAATGACTTCATGTAGGAAATTCAACTAGGACATGAACAACTTAATAAATGTCAATAAAAATTAAAATCAGTTCAAATGGTTGTGATGAGGTGAGAAATGAGCTAAATATGAATCACATTTTGTGCATTCACTTTTTCTGGAGCCCATGTATTTCTAATCTTAAAATGACTTTGAGGCACCATATTTGATTTTCCTGAGCACCAACAAAGGAAGAAGTGACTTCCAGCCTTCCAACTGCAGGAATTTTCTAAGGTACTATCCTATTTGCCTTCATGGATTCTTGAGTTAGTTTCATGCAACTAACTGAAGTCTCTCCTTTTCAGGCCTGCCCTTTTACTTAAGTATCAAACTTGCATTTCAGAATGATTGCTGGATATCTGCTTGTTCATCTTCTGTACCAGACTCTCAGTAGAACCATCCTCATATAAGTAGCTTCTGTCTAAGATTGCAGAATATTGGTTTGATCGTTCACCTGTATCACACTCTGAACATATCCAACCACATAAAGGAAGCAACCTCTCAAGTGACATCCCTATACATTGTATTCATAACACTATTCTTTTGTTAACCAACACATCAATTATTTGCTTTCTTTTGTTGCCACATCCGATCTGTTACTGATTCTTCCTAAATCCATCTTTCCTTCTTTATTTTCCTTTTCATGGTTGTAATTCTTACTCTTCTATTTCTTCTTCGGACTGGCTATTTTTATCGCCTTCTTATGGGCCGTTTTCTTCTCTCATCTCTCTGTGCTGTCATTCATCCTCTTCATTGCTCTGGGTGAAATATTATTCATATGAGCTTCAAATTTACATACCCCATCACCTTGTAGCTTTATGTTTTGCTTTTTTTTTTTTTCCACTTAAAAACTTTTTCTCTATCCTTATAAGCCATGAAGAAAAAGCTGGATTCATACAGCTTTAGAATTTATAACCTTAGTACGGCAATCAAACTCTTCAATATGGTCTTTAAATCAATGACATGGCAGTGTGGTTTAGTAGAAGCACGGAATTGCAAACATTATGATGTTTATTTGAGTCATGTTTTGCCCTTAGGAGACACGTGATCTTGGTCTAATTATATTACCTTTCAGGGTATCTTTTTTTCATTTTTTATTATTCCTTTTTCTCCCTCCCCAACCCTGTTTTAAACTTAAAACTAATCTAATGACATGCTTTGAAATGTTTCTATTTTTCATTACCCATATCTCAAACTGGATGAGATCTCTCCCTGTTTTGACTTCCTACATCAATTTCCTTTTCTTTTTTTTTTTTTGAGATGTGATCTCACTCTATTGCCCAGGCTGGAGTGCAGTGGAGCGATCTCTGCTCACTGCAACATCCGCCTTCCAGGTTCAAGGGATTCTTCTGCCTCAGCCTACCAAGTAGCTGCGATTACAGGCAAGCGCTACCACACCCAGCTAATTTTTGTTATATTTAGTACAGACTACAGATGGGGTTTTAACATCTTGGCAAGGTTGGTCTTGAACTCCTTAATTTGTGATCTGCCTGCCTCGGCCTCCCAATGTGCTGTGATTACAGGGGTGAGCCACCACGCCCGGCCCCACATAGATTTCTTCTAAGTCCATGATAATATGTTTTATATTATCTGTATACTTGTCCACTTTCAAATCTTCCTAATAGTTTACAAATAACTAGAAAGCATAGGTTGGTATTGTAGGTATGGGATACAAATATTTATGTAAAACCAACTTGCAGAAATACATACATGGAGTTGTGTGGAAGCACAACAGAACTCAAGTGTCCTTTACCTTCCATTTCTTTATTTTGCCTTTAGGGCCACTGCCCAAATGCTTGTTTTCTGCAGCAGTATGTCCTATGCAATACTGTTGACATGGTTTTTCAATTTAAATTGAATGACTGGGTGAGGCCTTATACACCACTGAAGATGCAGAGCAATTACGAAATAGGTAACTTGTTCAAGTTTTCACCGTTTAGCTCTAAGTGGCCCATACATACTATGCCTCTCCTAAGAAGAATTTTAATACTAATTTTGATCTAGACAGAGAATTCATATTTAGCCACCATATTCCTAATTAGGATAAAACAAAGAAATGAAATCACTATGGGAATTTTGTTCTTTACATGTGTTGTAGAAATAAAACAATTCTAGCAGCAAAATGACCTTTCCATATCAATATAAAATAGAGAAAAAAGGGTAAGGTATGGTGGCTCATGCCTGTAATCTTAGAACTCTAGGAAGTTGAGGTACGCAGATCACTTAAGGTCAGGAGTTTGAGTCCAGCTTGGCCAACATGGTAAAACTCAATCTCTACAAAAAAATACAGAAATTAGCCGGGCATGGCAGCAGGCCATTGTAATCCCAGCTACTTGGGAGGCTGAGGCAGGAGAATTGTTTGAATCTGGAAATAGGAGGTTGCAGCCAGCAGAGAGAACGCCACGGCACTCCAGGCTGGACGTTAGAGTGAGACTCATTCTCTAAATAAATGCATAAATAAAACACAGTGTATTATTGAACAAATACTAAAAGATTTACACACATGTAAATGTTTCCAAAGTAAGTACAAAATTATGACCAACTCACACACACAGCATAACAGAGGAAAGAGCAATAACTTATTTTGTTTTCTCAAGAGACAGGGGCTATATCTCATGACAACCTCCTGTATATCTTGTGAGACTTCTAAATCAATTCCAGAAATATATTTAATCCTATGTAAAGGTTATCTGACCCTTGACCTGGGCCAAGCTGGTCTCAAACTCCTGACCTCAGGTGATCCACCCACCTGTGACTCTAAGTGCTGGGATTACAGGAGTGAACCACTGCACTCCGCTCAGAATAGTAGTTTTAAATGCATTAGATAATATATAGAATTATAAAGTTAAACAATTAAATTAATATGCCATTATCAAATTATTAAAAAATCTGAATTGTTAAAATAATAACATGTGCTTTTAAATTTTTAATTTTATTTGCTTATTGATTTTGAGACAGAGTCTCACTCTGTTAGCCAGGCTCAAATGTATTTGTGCTATCTTAGGTCAATGCAGCCTCTGCTTCCCAGGTTCAAGCAATTAGCCACCTGAGTAGCTGCTATTACAGGCCTGCACCACCATGCCTGACAAATTTTTGTCTTTTTAGTGGAGACAGAGTTTCGCCATGTTGGCCAGGCCGGTGTCAAACTCTTGGCCTCAAGTGATCCTGACATCTGGGCCTTTCAAAGAGCTAAGATTTACAAGCAGAAGCCACAACCGTCCATGTGTGCTTTTTAAATGAATACAGAAAATAATAATCTACCCAGATGAAAGACTTAATATAGTTTAGGAGGATTGAGATTTTTACATGACATTTTGAGATATTGGCAATGGCAATGTGATACTAATAAAAGCACTTTTCTTCCAGTTCTGCCAATTATTCTGTTTGTTTTCTGATTTCATAAATAGAGAAATGCTAAGTTTCCTTTGGAGAATGGTTAAAAAAATAATTAACTTTTTTTTTTTTAACTCGTTCCCAGATCCCCTGAAGCCTGCCTATGCATCCCAGGTTTAGAACCTTACTCTGCAATTGGTTCTGATGTACCATGTACTTACTAATTGAACAGCTGTGATAAACTTGCTTGTCTTTACAAGTCATGAAGGAAAAGGCAAATATTCCACCCAAAGCACCTGGACCTTTTTATGGGGATTAATTTGAGTTAAGTCTTTAATTATTTATTTTGAGGAGTTCCCAAAATTACATTTCAGCAAATGAGGATACTCTCCCTCATCCCTTTAGAAGGGTAAACCTTAGGATAGGAATTGAGAGCAGCCACAATTTGTAATATACCGTAATTAATGTTTAGTGACTGTTAATTCAGAACCTAGATGTGATCCTAAGCATTTTAACAGGATTATGTCTTTTCAACTTACCGAATACAAATTCACCTTTTAAAATACATTTAAAAGAAACTTGTATAGCTTGCCCAAGGTCACCTCACAGCACTGTATGTGAAGCAGGCTGTCTCAGTAGTTTTGCTGGATTCTGTGGTGCCAATTTGCTGCCATAAGAGAATGTGGTGAATGATCGATACAGTGCTAGCTACAATTTGTCCATGATTAAAGATCTCTAAATGTGTAACTTTCATATACTTTTAGTTCCCTCAGTAGCATTATCTAGCCTGCATGCCAAAGAGCCCTACTTGCTTAACTAGGCATTGATAAACAAATAAAAGTAATCTCAGATAATAAAGATAAGGTTTGCTTAAAATACTTTGAAAGCACCTTGCAAGAGACAACAGTGTGTACTATTTCATATTGTGGGAAAAGTGGGGGACAACTGTCAAGCATCTTTATCAAAGTTTATGAACTGGAGACTCAGTTAATGGCTGCAAATACACTGCGCAAATACTTACACGTATATACCTAGTAGTATATATTAAATCCCAATAAGGCTCTACTGTTGCCTCAGGCCCCTCCTGGTCTCCTCCAGTCTCTGAGCAAGGGAGAATTGTGCAGAAGGGCGGGAACTGCCTGTGGTTCCCGCCCCTGCTGTTGAGGTTTTCAAACAGGTCCGTTTTGCTATTATAAATACTGCTGAGTGGCTCTGCGAGAGTTATTGTGTTACGAGCTTAACAGCCTTTCTCACCATGTCTGGTCGCGGTAAGGGCGGAAAGGGCCTAGGCAAGGGTGGCGCCAAGCGTCATCGTAAAGTATTGCGTGACAACATCCAGGGAATCACCAAGCCCGCCATCCGGCGCTTGGCTCGCCGCGGCGGTGTCAAGCGTATTTCTGGTCTTATCTATGAGGAGACTCGCGGAGTGCTGAAGGTTTTCCTGGAAAATGTCATCCGCGATGCTGTCACCTACACGGAACACGCCAAACGCAAGACGGTCACAGCCATGGACGTGGTCTACGCGCTCAAGCGCCAGGGACGCACTCTGTATGGCTTCGGCGGCTGAGTTTAGCGCGACAGTTTTCTACCGCAAAACCAACGGCCCTTTTCAGGGCCACCTACCCAGCCAGGAGAAAGAGTAGTAGTCACTGCTTTAAAAATACATTTTCACCCTTAGTACCTTCGTATTTCAAGAAGTTCAATTGTTTTAATTCCTCTTAGTTTCATATCTTACTGGCCAGTGAGGATGGCCCAAGTGTTTTCTGTTTTTTTTATTTTCAGACCGTCTTGCTCTGTCGACCTGGCTGGGGTGCAATGGCGCGGTCTCGCCACACTGCAGTCTTAGCCTTCCGGGTTCAAAGGCTTTTTGTTGGTCAGCCACTTGGCGTAGCTGCTTAAACCGGCTTGCGACACCAATGCCAGCTAGTTTTTGTATTTGTGGAGACGGGTTTTCACCACGTTACCAGGCTGGTCTTGAACTCAAGCTCAGAGGTTCCCTCGCCTTGGCCTCCGAAAGTGTTAGTGTATCTAGGCGTGAGCCACCGCTCTTGGCCTGTTTTCTCTATTAGTGTAAGAAAACTGACGGCAAGCTGAGGTTAACATTCTTCATGGCTATCAGAAACAAAGTAGCGAAGACTAGCTGAGAAACAAGGTAGCAAATGCTGTACCACAGAAGGCAAGTAGTAAAGGCTGATGCTGCTGTGAAGAACAGGGAAGAAAATGGACATAGTTACCAGTTCCTACCAAGGAATTCTTACGTGAGAGGCCCCTTAATTTTGTCCTGAGACTCTTTGCGCTGTTCTTTTATTGGCCATCTGGGTAAATATATCTGATAAGGCCTAAGTATTTACTGGAGGTCATTAAGCGTAAATATTTAGTGGAGATCACCTTATAAAGGCTGTACACATTTTGAGGTTTGGGGAAACCTGGTACAGAAGAATGCTTACTTGAAATGTACAGTATCTTTGGTTAATTACCTATTTAGTGCCTCTGTTTCTTCATAATAGTACTACTACTTAGCTTACAGATTTTGGGGTGAAGAAAGTTAAAAGGTTTGTTAAGCATTTTTGTCTTCTTTCTAAGTCCAGGTTCCAGGCTTATGTTAAGCATTTTTACAAGTTCATAACATGTGGCACTCTACATTTTGGCTATTTTTATTATTGCTAATACTATTATACATATTTCTCATGACAGAGAGGCCCAGAGAAAAAGAAGGTGATATTTGAACCATGAAACTCTATACTTGATGATACTGCACTGCCATTTTCTGTCTTTGTGGTCTGTGGCAAGTTACTAATCACGCTTCCTTTAATCTGTAATGTGTGGGAAACTATACTTTTGTGAGAACCGAGTGAGACAATGTATGATAAATAATATGACAGTTTTATATATTCAACAAATATAAGCTTACATGTATTTTAAAAATGTTATGCTATAACAAGATGTCTTAGAAAATAAATAATTTTTTAAAGGGTTGCAAGTATATTAAATTTTTCTTAACATAAGTATCAAAACCGAATTCCAGATAACAAACTAAAACACTGTTTGGGTCACTGACAACACTTCAAGTACTGCTGAACACTCAGGCCTGTCCTCTTACTCCCCTTTCTACAACTCCTAGGAAAATGAATTTGCTTGATTCAGCTGGGCTGATTCCTGGATCAATCAAGAGTGATAGCTGAAGAGACAGCTGACAGCATAATGTGACTACTTGAGGCTCAGCCCATAATGTGCTTTTCCCAGGAAAAAGAATTATCCTGCATCCAGAAGCTGTCCTGGATGGTCCCTGGGGTGCCCTCCTCAACCATATTCTCAGTAATGTCCATTTGCCATATGCAAAACTCATGTTGTCTGTTGTCATTCTACGATATTATAGACCTGGGCACCACATTCTTTTTGTGTTTTTGAGATGGAGTCTCTCTTACCCAGGCTAGAGTGCAGTGTCACAATCTCTGCTTGCTGCAGCCTCTGCTTCCTGGGTTCAAGCGATTCTACTGCCTCAGCCTCCCAGTAGTTTCCAGATTACAGGAGTGCACCACCACGCCCGGCTAACTTTTGTATTTTTGGTAGAGATGTGGTTTCGCCATGTTGGCCAGGCAGGTCTCAAATCCGCCTGCCTTGGCCTCCCAAGGTGATGGGATTACAGGTGTGAACCAAAATGCCAGCCTTGACATCTTCTCTGAAACTATTTATTCTCTAGACTTCTGCTGGTTTTATTTCAATCCAATCTTACTCACTAGTATTTACTGTTGGGGTCCGGCACATCTGCCGGGGGGCTACTGACCTGCGGGAGTCCCTGAGACTGCTAACGTAGATGTCTCCTTCAACCCGAGGGAGAGAGTGCATGGAAGTGAAAGAAAATAGTAAAGCGAAGTCTGGAGGTCTGCATAAATTATGGTTAAAACGCAGCAAATTTATTCTTGTGGGTTATAGCTTTTATACCTTTTCTCTTGTTACATTTACTTTATCTCAGCAGAAAAGGGGTAAACAGAAAGGAAATAGAAACTCCATAAAACCAGTTATCAGTGGCTTGTGATAACCACTCACAAAGCAGTTTAAGGGGGCTTGTGATAGCAGTTTACAAAGCAGTTTATGTTTTTCAAAGATACACTGTGCTACCAAACAATGGCGCCTTTAAGGTGGCTTGTTAATCCTGTATTCCATCAGGAGGTAGAACAAAGGCTTAGCTCCAGGGAAAATATGGGCAGGGGTCTCTTGTCCCTCTTAGGCATCTCAATTGCAGCAAGTTTATATCTTACACAGAGACTGATGGGGACATGAAAGCAGACAGCACAATGTCCTCATAAACCGCAGACCTTTGCTTTGTATTCTGTTTATGCCTCTGTGACTCAGCCCGCAACCTTTGTCTCAGCTCGACAGCCGTCGAGAGGTGGGAGTGCAGAAAGGTCCAGCGGCCAAGATGGGGTGAGTCATGCTAACTGTCTCAAGCCCTTGGTGCGAACACTGCACAGCTGAGGCGGGTGGATCACATGAACTCAGGAGTTTGAGACCAACCTGATTAACATGGTGAAACTCATCTATTAAATATAAAAAATTAGTTGGGTATGGTGGTGCATGCCTGTAATCCCAGCTACTTGGAAGGCTGAGGCAGAAGAATGTCTTGAACCCGCAACACAGAGGTTGCAGTGAGGAGAGCTTGTGCCATTGCACTCCACTCCAGCCTGGGCAACAAGACCAAAACTCTAACCAAAAAAAAGAAGGGCCTGGCATGGTGGCTCACGCCTGTAATCCAAACACTTTGGAGGCCAAGGTGGGTTGATCACCTGAGGTGGGGAGTTCAAGAACAGCCTGACCAACATGGTGAAACCCCATCTTAAGAAAAGAAAAGAAAAGAAAAAAAACCTTATGTCATGAATATTACTTTTTACCCATTTAACAGAAAGGGAAATTAGAGCACCTAAGGTGCAGTATCTTCTCCCGAACCCCATGACTTGTAAGAGATGGAACCAGAATGATGATTTAGGTAGAGTCTGGCTTGGATTTGGTCCGTTAGAAGACATTCCCACCTACCTTGGTGGGCTGTTACCAAAAGAGAAAAATGCTTCTTGTTCTTCTCATGTTAAAAGCACGGAAAATGAAGCAGTTGTTCAATGACTAAAAGAGGTTGCTAGACAAACAAAACAAACTGATTCTATGGTATATCTAGTCAGTTGAGAAAGAGGAAAAAGATGAATGAGACAGAAAATTTAAACTGTATTAAGGGGAAAGTGGCAGAGAGAAAGAGAAAAAAACAGACAAGGCTGGGAGCGGTGGCTCACGCCTGTAATCTCAGCACTTTTGGAGGCCGAGGCAGGTGGATCACAAGGTCGAGAGATCGAGACCATCCTGGTCAACATGGTGAAACCCCATCTCTACTAAAAATACAAAATATTAGCTGGGCATGGTGGTGCGTGCCTATAATCCCAGCTACTCAGGAGGCTGAGGCAGGATAATTGCTTGAACCCAGGAGGTAGAGGTTGTGGTGAGCCGAGATCGCACCATTGCACTCCAGCCTGGGTAACAAGAGCGAAACTCTGTCTCATAAAAAAAAAAAAAAAAATAGGAGATAGAACCTCCCTATAGAAGATGTCTTCCCTATACCAGAAGTAAAGGAACATTGTCATTTCCAGAAACGGAGAGTCAAGGCCAAGAGAAACCTGTTTTAATCAACCTTATTAAACAAACCCTTACATTTTTAATTATTTTTCCAGCATTGACTGCCTTAGGCCAAGCCCCTTTGTCTTGTCATGTTTTCATTATTTAATACTTTCTCCAATTCAGTATGTAAGTTTAACCACTTCTCTGGATTTTTATTCTTTTTCAGTTATATACCTAAAGTAACAGAAGTTGGATTTTTTATGTAATTAACACTGTTACCTCATCTTTCTAATTGATGAGAGTCTTTCTATTATCTATTGCTATAAATTTTTCAGCCCCCATAGTTAGATGATAAGCACTTATTAATCCTTTGAGGGGCCCAACTGAGGCATTTATCAGGAACCCAGTGTTGACATAATAGCATCAATTCTTTCATGACGGCAGAGCTCTCGGGACTTAATCATCTCCTAACGATCTCACCTCTCAATACTCTTGCACTGGGGATTCAGCTTCCAGCACATGAACTTTTCAGACATATTTATAACATGGCAGCCTGTGTTTACCATTGTTAGAGGTTAAAAAAGAAGGAACCCATGAATCTTATTTAAATCATATATGATAAAGGGTGGTTTTTGCAGTAAGCCATTTTGGAACAAAAGGGGGTGGGAGAATTTCCTTAACCATTGCTGTTTTCTGATTACAGAGCTCAGATAAAGGTCAATTAGCCATTAAACACTGCCTGTATTGGTAAAATTAAAATGAAAAATAATAATGTCAATATTATCAGTTGCAATCAATGAGATATTATTTAGGTTTCACTGGATCTGATGTTTAACCAAAATAAAAATGTAAAAGATTAGATGCATTTGACTTTATTTTAATATAATCAGAAATTACTGACATATATTACTCAAAGCAGTATATATTGGATACCATGAAAATTCCCTGTGTAGCCACACTTTCTGAATCCCAAAGGCTCTAAACTGTTCTGAGGTAGTAATCATTTGACGATGAGCTGAAAGGTATTACCTGGACCACAGGATCATTAGTTTAAAAACAAAATTGGCTAATGTGCTTATAAATAAGTAGATTTCCCTGATAGACATTTTTCCCATAAAAAATCTCTTTAGCTCCAAGAACAGTGATTTTCTTTTTCAGGTTTACATACAATAAAACTCCAAAATAATGCAAGTTATTAAATTAAATGGAATGCATTCCAAGGTATTTTGCTTTATGATTGTGATCTCGTGGATGTTTTATAAGTTTTCTTTTGCCTTTCTTAAAAAAAAAAAAAAAGCATGTGTGAACATGAACAATATTTTATCTTTTTATAATAGTTTTTTAATTAAAGCAAAGAATGTATGTAATAACATGCCTTAGAGAATGCTCCTGTTATTTGGGACGGAAAACAAATCATATGTGGATTTTAAAAGATAATAATAGTAAAAATAATAATAAAAGAAGATGAGGGACAAATATCCCTGGAAAATAAATGTTTACCAAGACAGTGCAAGTTTAGCAATATTATTATCAGACAAAATGTTAAAGTAAAGGTGTTCATAGGAGTAGAGAGGGACACTGTAAGGACTTTTATTTGCAATGTGGAAAACCAGGTATTCTGGAAAACTCTACTGAAGCAAAACACCTAAGAACTAGAGCAACTACAACCAACAAAGTGTTACTCAGTTCACCAATCAGCAACAAGGGGCTGGCGGGCATGGCGGCTTATGCCTGTAATCCCAGAACTTTGGGAAGCCAAGGCGGGTGAATCACTTGATGTCAAGAGTTTGAGATCGGCTTGGCCAACAGGGTGAAACCCCATCCCTACTAAAAATACAAAAATTAGCCAGAGTGGTGGTGCGCGCCTGTAATCTGAGCTACTCCGGAGGCTGAGGCGGGAGAATCACTTGAACCTGGGAAGTGGAGGTTGCAGTGAGTCAACATCATGCTACTGCAGTCCAGCCTGGGTGACAGAGTAAGACTCTGTCTCAAACATACACACACACACACACACACACACACCCCAAAGAAAACAAAAGTAAAAACAAACAGAAAAAGGAATTCCCATAAGCCTATCCAGAACAATGAAATTTAGAAGCTGAAACTAGAATGACAGCACATCTTTGATTCTCTGGAAGCAAATACCATTATCAGGATTCTGGGAATTAAAGTCTGATGCTTGGGAAACAGAAGTCTATGTTCTTAAACAAAAGTGAAGACACAGCATGTGGGAAGTAGAAAAGTTAGTTCCTTTTTGTTAAAGAGTAAGTGTGCTAATAACTTTGTTAAGCCCTACCCTATGTAACTGTTTTAACATGCCATGCTTACAGGCATGTCGTACATTCTATGTCCTTGTACTTTAACCAAGATATCTGTGCTGGACATGCTCTCAGGCATGTCCCAGTTTTCCACTGCTTTTACCTGTTTAGAAAAGTTTTAAGTTGTTAACCAATCAGGTTTTAGTTTAGATTGTGAGGTCTGGCTCCAGCCAATGGAGATCACACACAACAGTAAGGAGAACCCCAAAGGCGTGAGTAATGAATCTGTGGATTCCCTTTATTCTTTGTTCTTCCTTCCTGCAGCCCAGGAAGTAAAAATTGCTTTGCTGAAAGATCATTTGTCTCAGGGCTAATTTTTCTTTGCAGCATCGAGAATCCTTTTCCAGCATCTATTTCCAACATAGCATAAAGCCAGGAAGCTGTGAAAAAGGGTAGCATGGAGGAAAAAAAAAAAAAAAAAAAAACTAGTAAACATCCCTGGGAAAAAAAGACCTTGTTTGTCTCTACAGGAATTTTAACTCTGAGGAGATAGATGAAGAAAATTTGCCTCAAAGATTTAACCCTAAATATAAATGAAGTCTGGAGTTCCAATGAAGGCAACCTGAAATTAAATTGATCCAGGCTTATAGTGCCCCCTTGTGCCTGATGAAGACAAACACAAACCCTTTCAGGAGGAAAGCATCCTGAATCCAAGTTCTCTACATCTACACAGGTTATCTATGTACAAAGCAATTATTTACTGAATACCTATTTTATGCTAAACACTGTCAGGAACTTTGAATGTTTAAGTATAAGGTCATAATAAATGTCACAAAATAAAAAAAAATAAACACTATGGAAAGTCAGGCTTATAAGCAAAGAGCCTTCTATGTCCTCCTAGATCCCCAGGCAAACAAAAAATTTCAGATATTGAAATTATTAGAGACTATAAAAATCACCATTTACCAAAAGTTTAATGAAATAAAGAATAGAGTAATAAAACAATCAAGTTGCAAGGGACAATTAAAACCAGGCACATTTGAACAAAATAGAATTTTGCCAGACTCCATAATGATAAAATAAGAATCCAAAAATAAGATGTAACATTCAAAACCTTATATGCACTTGAGCACAGAACCACTATTATGTCAATAAATAACTGGCAGAATTAGGAGAAGTTCAAATGTAGAATTGTAGGGTAACCTTTCAATATTCAATATGAGTGTTAAACACTCATGTAACAAGCAAAGAAAAATGTTAACGGTTGCCTAGGATTTGAAGAAGACAATAAGCAAATTTGATCTATCTATGATTTCTTTCATTCGACATAAAAAGCATTCATTCCTTTTTTCAAAACACACATTGGACAATTTCAAAAAAAATTAATCCTTGTTTCAGAAAAGGTCACAATAGATACTAAAGGATGAACTTCATATACACTATGCTCTTTTATCATAAAATAATTAAAGAGCAATATATAATTTCTCATATGTTAATGAGCATCAGAAACAAAAGTTTCATTCTTTTTTAAAGATAGTAAAAATAAGACAATCTCTTCATATGTTAGGAAACTATTAATCACACTCTTAAATACCACAGATTATACTGGAAATCAGAAGGAAAAATATATAATATTAGGAAATAAACTTTAATGATAACAATATGAAAATTTTAGGATGTACCTGAAGTGGTAATAAAAGAAAAAAACATATAATACTAAATGCATACATTAAGAAACAAAAAGGCCAGGCATGGTGGCTCACGTCTGTAATCCAAGCACTTTGGAGGCCAAGGCGGGCGGATCACCTGAGGTCGGGAGTTCAAGACCAGCCTGACCAACATAGTAAAACCACATTTTTAAAAAGAAAAAGAGAAAAAAAAAAAAATAAGTTATATAAACTAGATATTCAACAAGAGAAGCTTAAAAGGAACAGAAGAGTAAATAAAAACAAAGTAGAAAGTAGAGAAATTTTAAAAGAACAAAAATTAATTAAATGAACAAATCGGAGATGACTTGTAGCCTAAAGCTCTTTGTTCTTTGAAAAAACAATTCAAAAAAAGAGCATATATGTGTACGGCAAGAAGTTACAGAAATTAAGAAACATAACTACACAAATGGAGATATAATGACATGAGAATGCTATGTGTAACTTTTTTTTCTTTGCTATGTACAACTTTAAAAAAAAAAAAACTTCAGTGGAAAATAATTTTTTTTTTGAGACGTAGTCTAGCTTTGTCCCCCAGGCTGGAGGGCAGTGGCCCCATGTCGGCTCACTGCAACCTCTGCCTCCTGGGTTCAAGTGATTCTCCTGCCTCAGCCTCCCAAGTAGCTGGGATTAGAGGCACCCACCACTACACCAAGCGAATTTTTATATTTTTAGTAGAGACGGAGTTTCACATATTGGGCAGGGTGGTCTCGAACTCCTGACCTCAAGTGATCCGCCCACCTTGGTCTCCCAGAGTGCTGGGCATACAAGTGTGAGCCACTGTACCTGGCCAGAAAATAATTTTTGAGAAAAAAAGAAAATTAAGTAATAGACAAGCTGAGTAAACAAATTATGATTAAGAAAATACGGTAAGCTGTTAAAAAAAAATTCCTGTCTTTCCACCCAAATGCTGCCAAACCCAAAGTTTTCAACTTTTAGTGAATTTTAAGGAATATATGATCTCCAATTTTTTTACTGTAGTTTTTTCTGAGATGCAGTGACTATATACAGGCTTGATGGCAGCCACCTACAGTCTCCAACTCCTGGGTTCAAGTGGTCGTTCTGCTTCACCTCCTGAGTAGCTGGGACTACAGGGACACGACACCTCCATTGGCATGATACCTATTTTACAGAGTCTGTTACAATAGAAAAATAGCTCTACTACTCACATTTTTGTTTTGAAATTGTATAATATTATTAGCAAAACTGGAGAATACAAATTTTAAAAAGGAAAAAAGGGAGAAAGAAAGAAAATAAGGAAAATTATAGTTTCGTGTCACTAATGAACATTCATATTTTTAGGGAAAAAAATCTCCTATTAGAAAAATGCAAACCAGGAGAAATTACAGAGACAATATTGTTAAAATAAATAGTATATGATATAGGGTTTATTCTAAGAATAGAAGGAAGTTTAGCATTATAAATTTGTCAGGTTAAGAGATTAATAACGGAGGCCAGGCACGGTGGCTCCTGCCTGTATTCTCAGCAGTTTAGGAGGCCGATGAAGGTGGATTACTTGAGGTCAGGCGTTTAAGGCCAGACTGACCAATAGCAAAACCCTGGCTCTAATAAAAATACAAAAATTAGCCAAGCATGGTTGCACGCACCTGTAATGACAGCTGTTTGGGAGGCTGAAGCAGAAGAATCGATTAAACCTGGAAGGTGCAGGCTGCGGTGAGCCAAGATTGGGACACTGCACTCCCGCCTGGATGACAGGGTAAGACTCGATCTGAAAAAAAAAAAAACAACAGAGAGATTAATAAAGAAAAACGACATGATCATCTCAAAACACACTGAGAAAACATTTAACAAAATATAAAAGTCTTTCATTATAAACATTTAACAGACTAGAATAAGAAGAGAACTTCCTGAAGAAGTAGCTACAGTGAGTATATCACTTAATGGTGCAGTTTTGGAAGGATTCCCAGAGTCGGAAGCCAGACAAGTGTGGTTTGGAACTATTCCCATTCAACATGGCATCACAGGGTTTGGCCAATACCATGAGATAGGGACAGGGAGTGAGAAGGGCAAGGATTCACTAAAAAAAGATCATTATTTTTGAAAATAAAATGGTTAAGGTGAAAGTCCACAGGATTCTATAAACAATTAGGTCAAAAAAGAATTGGAATTAGTGAGCATAGGCTGGGCGCAGTGGCTCAAGCCTATAATCCCAGCACTTTGAAAGGATGCACAGATCACGAGGTCAGGAGATAAGAGATCATACTGGCTAACACAGTGAAACTCTGTCTCTACTAAAAAATACAAAAAAAAAAATAGCTGGCCATGGTAGCATGTGCCTGTAGTCCCAGCTACGTGGGAGGCTGAGGCAGGAGAATCACTTGAACTGGGAAGGCGGAGGTTGCAGTGAGCTGAGATCGCACCACTGCACTCCAGCCTAGGTGATAGAGAGAATCTCTGTCTCAAAATAAAACTAATTAGAATTAGTGGGCATAAGAACACCGTACAGAAATTAATGGCCTTTTTATACACTAACAATTACGTATCTGAAATCATACATGGTGTTGGGGTGCTGAAGCATGATGAAGAGATAAGCATCCCTGAAGACCAGAGAGGTGTTAGTTGAGTGGGTGCATACTGTGATATGGGGAGAGACAGATATATACTGTACTATATCTATGTGCAGTACTATTATTGGCAGAGGGAAAAATGTAAATCTCATTGATCATTTGAAATGCAAGATTTTGTTTTGACATGTTGTTAAGTTTATTCCTTAGAGTTGCCAAAAGATAATATTTTTAGTGTAAAGAAGGGACCCTGTAGTTAATTTGCCTAGGTCAGAAAGCTCTCTGCCATGTATTAGATGTAGGACATTTTTTTCCAGCTACATGGGGTCTGCATAAACGAGTTATTTTAAACTTCATTTGGCATATACTCATGGATAAAGGTGGGATAACAGGATATGCACAGTGGCTCACGCCGATAATCCTAACACTTTGAAAGGCCGAGGCAGGCAGATCACGAGGTCAGTTCGAGACCAGCCCAACAATCATGGTGAAACCCCCTCTCTACTAAAAATACAAAAACAGCCGGGTGTGCTGGCGTCCACCTTTAATCCCAGCTACTCCGGGGGCTGAGGCAGAAGTATCGCTTGAACTTTGGAGACAGAGGTTGCGGTGAGCCGAGATCCCGCCACTGCACTCCAGCCTGGGCATCAGAGTTAGATTCCGTCTCAAAACAACAACAACAAAAAAGTGGGTAACAGTGCACAGGTATGTATGTCTTAAGGCTGACATTAGTACCTGGAAATCACTTAGAAATGTGTGTGTAAAAAAAAGAAATAAAAACTCGTAAGAGTTGTCAGCTACGTGCACCAACAGCTGCATTGTCTTTCTTGCACCTTAGATGCTTCTGCCTTCATAGGAACCTTAATTAAAATAGTCATAGGAAGATTAATATATAACGTCTTTTTGACTTAAATGTTCATTTTTTCTTATGACTTTAGAAGAAATTAAAATATTTCGTAAGCCTCTAAAAGTACTGTGGGCCCTAGGCACTGTCTGATGTTTAACGGAGGATGACCCTGCGTGTACCTGACGATGATTTTAATATACATATATTCAATTAGGACATAAGTATTCGCACACATTCATATGCACACAAACCCTGGTCCTCACACGAAGAGTCCTACGGGCGTGAGAACAATAAGGGAGGTGCAAGAAAGGTCTCGTTGGAGTTGGGAAGCCTAATTTCAGCACTAGTGAAGAGGGGAAGTGGCAGCTCCCGGAGAAGAAAGCAGGATGCTGAGAGACTGAAGTCGAAATGTTCTTCCTCCTTCCTCACTCTTCCCGTTGGTTTGAGCCGCCTGGAAAAAAGATCAAGGGAGGGCTGCTGCCTGGCTTCTCAGTCTTCAAAATTTTCGGTCCTCAGTATTTTTGGTTTGTTTTGAGACCGACTCTCGCTCTCTTGCCCAGGCTGCAGTGCAGTGGCGCGATCTCGGCTCGTCGCAACCGCCGCCTCCCAGGTTCAAGCGATTCTCCCGCCTCAGCCTCCCGAGTAGTTGGGCTACAGGCGCGCGCCACCACGCCCGGCTAGTTTTTGGCATTTTTAGTAGAGACGGGGTTTCACCGTGTTAGGTAGGACGGTCTCGATTTCCTGACCTCGTGATCTGCTCGCCTCGGCCTCCCAAAGTGCTGGGATTACATGCGTCAGCCACTGCGCCCAGCCAGCCCTCTGTTTTTACACTGTAAACGACTCAGCAGATTGTTCCAAGTCTCCAATGTCCGGCGGTCTGGTGGCTCCAGAAGAGCGGGGCCGGGTCGGCGGGGACTAGGAACCACCGTCCGCGGCCCAGAAGTAACCTTCCGGACGCGCGCGTCGCACTGACGTAAAACGTACGGGACGCCCTATGAGGGAGCCGGATGGGCGTAACGCGGCGGCGGCGTAACGTGTGGCTCTGACGTCAGGGTACGGAGGGGCGTGGCTGGACGAGCCTGAAGGGGCGCTGGCGTTTGGGGCGAGGGTTGATGGGATGACCTTAGAGGGAGCCGGCGTGGAGCAGCACTACCCATCCTGACTCCTTTTCGTGCCCGCGTAGCCGCACCGGGAGTAGGATGGCCGCTGCCATGTTTCAGGACCTCTCATCTTCGGTTTGAAATTCTGTGCGATCTTCCGGCTTTGTGTGGCCATATAGTATAAGCATTTTAGGGCAATTTCATGTCCTTTAAAATAAAGTTCCCCAAATGTGGTCTCCGGACCGGCAACATCAGCATCACCTGGATAATTTAGAAGTATAAATTACCAGGTCCTACTCCAGATCTAATGCATCAGAAAAGTTTTGTGATTGCTTCAAAATATTGTTTACCTTAATAATTCAGATGCTAGAGAAGAGCTTTCAAATGGTAGCTTAGCATAGACTAACCTGTTTTTAACTTCATTACCAAAACCAAATTAGTGTTGACCTTTATGCCGGAAAGTAAAGTGAAAATAGGTGGGGAGGTAGGTAGGAAGGTAAGTAGATTTCTACAAAGGGGAGGTGTTAGAAGAAAGATTTGGATCAACAATGAATGCAGAATTACAATTTGCAGATTTTATTAATTATAACTTTTTTTTTTTTTTTTTACAAACTTACTGCCATCTTCTCATTCAGACTTTTCCTAGCAAAGGTAGTCCTTGATAACTAATGAAGTCCCAGTAATTAGGTTTGTAACTTAAGTAAATTCTATTTTTATTTTTATAAACTCAAAAAATAACATGAAGTGAAAACACCTTATTTAGTTTTTCTCCTCGGTAATTGTTTCATGAACCAGTGTGTAGCAAACAAGGATGAGTTGGATTTGTGTAGAATATGGACACAGTCAATCATTTTCAGGTAGATGAGACTTCATACTTCATAAGTTCTATTGATAGATTAGTATTGTCAGTTATTTTAAGTATTAATTTCTCTTCTGCCTTCATGTCTCTCCTCTGATTGAAGAAATAAGGAGGGTTTAGTTACTAGGTTTGCCATCACCAGTATCTTCTATACAAAGAGGATTCTTTTTACGTGTGCTTGTATAATGAACTATTAGGAATCTCTGGTTCAGTTCTGGCTACACTTTAGTAGCATTAACATCTAGTAAGTCATGCTTAAGAAATATTACTGACTAATGTGATCTTTGTTTCAAATTCTCCAACTATCCTTCTTGGGTGGGATTCAAATGTTCAAAAGCTCAAATTCTCTCCCTTTTGTTTTTGACCTGAAAAGATTTGAACACTGATTTTTATTTTAACTTGGTGAAAAGGAAAATATGATAACTGTTAAATAGTGCTAAGTGCTTACTAAAGGTCCATCACTGTTTCAAGAGCTTTACATGAGCTATCTCAATCCTTAAAATAACTTTTAGAAGGGATCTACTACTATTATCCTCTTTGTATACATGAGGAAACTGAGACCCAGAAAATCTGAGTCACTCTGAGTTTTGTGACAACTCATTAGCGACCTCTCTTCCTGTGGTTATAGATATTTGTGCACTTTAATTACTTTAGAAATTATGTTATGCTGCAAATACTTTCTGAGAGTCTACCATGTTACTGGAACAGCCTTAGGCATTAGGAAACCAGCCGCCAAAAAGGTGAACTCCCTGTTTTTATGGACCTTACAGTCTTCAGGATCAGAAGGGGAGGCCAACAAAAAACAAATTTAAGTTAGTCAGTGCTAAATATAGTGAAGAGGAATGCAAACAGCAAGTTGAGAACGAGGATAGAAGGGTGTCATTTGACATTTGCTGCACAGAGAAAATCTCTCAGATGTGGTGACATTTTCATCAATCTACTTAATCCAAAACCCATGAAGTATAAGAAATATTTGAGTTATTATTTGACAGACAACTGAGACACCAAGTATATGACAGGGTCTATGTATTCGTGGCCCCTTTTTGTTTTTCTCTGCCTTTCTACCACATTCTGCTATAAGTTTCTGTTAGGTACCCAAGCTCTTTTTCTCCCTTTTGTTGTAGCAGTCTGCTTCCATTCCTTTTCTGAGTCCTTTTCAATTTCTCTCACCATTTTTCTCATGCTCTCCCCAATCTCCTAAAAAGTAATTATGACTTGGCTGTAATATTTATAAAATATCATTTGTATTTATAAATATTTTTTAATTTTAAAACAAAATGATATTTTCTTTATTACTAAAAAAAAGAATATGTTTGCCTTGATTCAATGACTTTGGTAGTTCCTATATGAGCCCAAGTTAATTGACTTTCTTGAATATTTCCAAAGCATGAGAAACACTTTTTTAGGCCTTAGTGAAAGACAAAGGAAAATGAAACAATTAGCTGTAAGTCTCCTTAACTGATGGCTCCAGGAAATCAAGGACCACCTTTTCTCTCTATGTATCTGCAGTGCCCAAGCCAGTGCCTATGGAATGTTGCACACTTCATGAATTTCCTCCCAAATCCTTCGTACGAATTTCTTCTATTTGGTTTCTTTTCTTTATACCTCTCTCTGCTGAGTCTTAATCTGTTAATCTTATACGTGGAACTTTTTTTTTTTATTACTATTAATCATTAATCTTAAGTTTTATAAATTATTAACAGCTTTAACTTCTTGTACAATTTAAATTTCATCGATTTGTTTTTTCCATTTTTAAAAATATTTTCATACTCTACAGTATTTTCTAGGATTTAAAATTTGTATTATAAGTACTAATTTTTCTGCTTTAATTTATTGTTTTCCTTCAGAAGGCCAAATCTGTTTGTTCAACATTCTAACAACAATCATGCACTAGAGAATTGCTTTACAGACTGCAGTTTAAGATTTCTCAGATGAATTAATACATTCAGTGCGTATTTTTAGAAAAGTAACAGCTATATGCTAGTCTAACGTTTTATATACACTGTAGAGATACAACTGTATCCTTTACAGTATCAGGGAAAAGACCATCAGGATATTATGAGGGGATTTTATTGGGCTTTGTCTCTGTGGATGGTGGTCCATTGTAGTCTGAATTGTCGAAATTCTTAATGGTCCTACCATTTATAAAGGTATCGGAGCTAGGTGATTGTATATTTGATTTCTATATAGTCTTTAAAGCACAAATGTTTTTTGCATTCAAGTATTTCAAACATAAAAAAAGAGATATAGTGTTTTTTTAATTATGTTCACAAATTTTTTAAATTTTTTCTGCCTTATCAAGTTTTTATTTTTACATACTTTTTATGTATTGAAAAGAAAAGCATAATTACCACAAATTACGAAGGACTAAAGCAGGACTAGAATAACAAATGAATCACTTAAGCCTGGAAAGCAGATACTCTCAATAATATTGTTATAACACAAGCTCCTTCAAGTATCATACCCTAGCCCATAGTAAAGATAATGTACTATGAGCATAAGGTGGAACCTTCTCTGCAAAGCCAGATGACAAGTTTTTGTCTCTAGTGAGAAATGGCTCTAAGTTATAACCTTCAGGATCAACATGCCTTAAGGGGGCGTAGGTGGGGGTTGGGGAACTCCAAGGACCCTTCAGCATGGGAGGATTCCATTCGGGAGGGTGCCAGGTGATTCAGATTACCCAGGCTTTTTTAACAACAATCCTTACCCTTTGCAGTTATCCTCCTTGACCCTTCTTCTCACTTCCAGGGACTTCTCATAAGCAGCTTACTTACTTTTGTAAAATTGATCACCAGGAAAGGGATTGATGGAACAAAACAAAAATGTTTAACAACTTTGACATAGGGGCTTCACCTCTATCTGAGCCCCAGGGGTCCAGGCTGGGGCAGGGCTGGATGGCCCTTCTTTAACTGGTAGTGCATTTTTTTTCCAGGTGCAAGACAGGGCGAAAGAGAAACCTGCCCCTTAACAGGATTGAGGCATACAGACCTTATGATGTTTAATGTTCAAGTGTTGGACATGGATGAACCTTGAATGAGATATGAGGAACAGAGGGATTGGGGCAGACTGTCGCTTTGTGTCTGAGGTCTTGGATCCTCATGGGAGGGTGGTGGGTATGAAGTAGCTTAGCCCTGATGGCCCCTGCCACTTCTGGCATGCTTGTCACAGATACGTGGGTCCTAAATCCAAGTGCCTTCAGATATTGAAGATGTAAACTACTCTTTGCAACATTAACTCCTATAATGATACAAAAAGAAAGAAAAGAGAGAGAGAGAGAAAGAAAGAAAGAAAGAAAGAAGAAAGAAAGAAAAAGAAAGGAAAAGAAAAAGAGGCTGGGCACGTTGGCTCATGCCTGTAATCCCAGCACTTTTGAAGGCCAAGGTGGGAAGATCACCTGATGTCAGGGGTTTGAGACCAGCCTCGCCAAGATGGTGAAACTCTCTACTAAAAGTACAAAAATTAGCCTCGCATGGTGGCACATGCCTGTAGTCTCAGGTCTCAGCTACTTGGGGAGGCTGAGGCAAAAGAATGGCATGAACCTGGGAGGCGGAGGTTACGTGAGCCAAAATCACACCATTGCACTCTAGCCTGAGTGACAGTGAAATGCCATTAAAAAAAACAGAAGTTTCTCCCTCCGCTGGCGCCAACCACCAATCTATGTTGAGATGAAGTTTTTACCTTTCTGCCCCAAGGGGGTTCCTCTTTTGGGAATGTCTATGAAGAAGATGGCAGCCCCCTGGCCTGTGAGTGTACTCCTGGTAAGAACAGCCTTTCACCACACCCCAAGGCTTCTTTGTGCCCCAGACACAGCAGAGGAAAAACGTTGAGGTTTCTGTGATGCTGGATACAGTACATGGCTGCATGACCTAAAGGGAAGGAGGAGGGCGTCCTGGAGTCCAATATCTGGTACAATGTGGAGCAGGCACCAGAAGGAACAGGGAAAGGCCTCAGATTCCACTGTCCTCACAAAGACCAGATGCTTATGCCTGGTTCAAGACATGGGTCACAGGAACTGAAATGGGTTTCCCACATACCAACCACTGGGAGGGCAGCGGCAGGGAAGGGCACAGGCTAAAAGCAATGAGGTCCCTAAGGTAACAGGTAAGCCCTTGTTAGCCAGGGATACTGTCTCCTACTGCCAGCCTTTGAACTCAGTGGAGGAACCAGTTGAAAAGGAGGGTCAAAAGCATTGTGGTAAGTGAGCAACAAGACCACAAACTCCTCTGTGTTGCCTACATCCCACCAACAGTGAACACAGAGTTATGACTGTACCCGACGCATATCCCAGTCTGTGGTTCAGTCCTTCATCTTCCTCCCTAGCTTCTAATGGCAGCAGACTCCAGCCATTCCATTGTCTATCATTCACTGCCCAACCCAATCAGTGGCTGAAGAAAAGAAGTCAGATATACTCTATGTCCACATATACTTTCCTGCCACAGGGCTTCCACAGCTGGCAGGGTTCCCCACAGCCCTCAGGTCCTTTTCATCCCTTGTTATCTGTTGGAGTCAGTAGGAGGGTGGGCAGGGATAGATGGTTTACAGAATGGGGATGCAAGATGGGGAGACTCCACCAGACCCTAGGAGGAAAATGGCAACTTTCTCCACTTTTTAAGAGAGGCAGTCTCCTTGAGGTCTCAGAAGATCTTTCAGGTCAACACAGAAAAAATTTCCAAGCCTCAGCTGTAGGTGTTCACCTTTTCTGTCTGTGGTAGGGGAGATGTTCAAGCTGAGAACAATATGATCCAGATGCAGGCCAAGTCTGTTCCCGCAAAGTTTGAAGCAAACTTGGCCTTGGGATTTCATGGGTAGGATGAAGGCTGTCATGGCAGGACAGGACCTGGTATGAGGCAATAGCAAGCAGAGCAAGGACACAACAGTGGCAGCTGTGTACAGACACAGGATGTCAGCTTCAAACAATGCAACAGCAGGGAAATCTTGGGCATGGTTCTGATCCAAGCTTCCTCCAACTTTTGCCTCCAGGACAGAGGCTGTGTACATGCAGCAACCCAGAGAAAGATTCTAGGGAGTCCAAGACCAGGCACATCCAGAGAAGGTTGGAGTTTTTTGGTTTGGCTCCACTGAGGAAAATAGACATTTGGGTATTTCAGATTCCCACTCCACGATAAGGCAACCTAAAAAAAAAAAAAAAAAAAAAAATTCCCAAAACAAAAAACCCAAGGGGAGAGAATAAGACATCACTTTCTGTGGATTAGTTGGGAGGTTTCTGATTTTTTGTCTCTTTTTTTAATTGTCAATTTTTTTTTTCATTTTCCCAGGGATGAAAACTTCAGAGGAAAATCAAATAAAAATCATCTTTCAATAGTCTTTCCTGGTATGAGCAGCATCTCTGTGGGCTGGGGAGTAAAGTATGTAGGAAGAGGGGAGTGAGGAGAGGCTAGAATCTTCCCCCAATCCCCAGTTTTAGATCTTTTAATTTCCTTCTCCCAGAAGATGGCAGAAGGGCATGGTTTGAATAGCAAGGAGAGAACATGGTAATGATAAACCCTGGAAAACCCAGGTACTGGTTCTCCTGAGGCCCAAGGGTACCACCAGAGCCTTCCGTGGGATGCTGCTGCGCAAGGGGCCTGCTGGGTCTTCCTGTGGGCTGCGTAGTTGGCTGGAGGGGGAGCAGGAAGACATTAGGTGTAGGGACCAGGGTTGCAGCCTAGTGGCTATATATATTTATATATATATATATTTACAGATATATATTATAGATATATTTATAGATATATATACAATATATGGATTTTAAATATTAATATATAATACATAGTTACAGATAATTATATAATATATTATGTATTATATATCTATATATAATATATAGATTTGAAATACCCATATATTATATATCTCTATATTAAATTTATATATATTTAATATATTTAAATAAATTAAATTTAAATGTTTACTATATTAATTATAACATATATATTAGATATATATAAATATCCCCCTTTGTCTCCCCAGCTTAGAAGAAGCTAGGATGTAAAGATTCATGGAGACGAGGGGGAAGGGGATGTGGAGGCTCCTGCCTGGGGGTACTCTGATAGCCCAAATAGTGTACACATTGCTACTCAGTACAATGGCCCATCCTAATAACTCCAGGCCTGTCCTTTTTTTGTCCCTTGTCCTGGGACTGAGCACCTCCATGGACTTTTGTCTACCCCATCCCTTTCCCTGCCTCAAGCCCCAGAGCTAAAGGGCTTTTTTGTTTTGTTTTGTTTTGTTTTGTTTTGATGATGCAAAGGCAGACTGGCTTATAATGAATAATGTGCCAGATGAAGTGGCTCACAGCGGTAGTCCCAGCTACTTGGGAGTCTGAGGCGATTCCATGAGCTGAGGAATTCCAAAGTGCAGTGAGCTATGATCACATCACTGCATTCCAGCCTGCGTGATGCAGCAGCAAGACACTGTCGCAAATAAATAAACAAAGTTTAAAAAGTTATTTTTTCAAATCTGTGTGGTCACTTTTGTATTTCCTTAAGACTCTCCTTTTTTCACACTAAAGCTAGTCATTTCAAGTCTGTCTTGTTAATTCTCTCTTTTTTACTCCTTTTATTTCCATTGTCTGTTGCATTTTTTTTTTCAGAGACAGGATCTCAAACTTTTGGTCTCAATCAATCCTCCAGCCTTGGCCTCCAAAACTGCGGGGATTACAGGCATGAGCCACCACGCCCAGCTTCCATTGTCTGTTGCTTTTGTTTTCATTGGTCATACTTCTGGTTTCAAGGTGTTTGGTTAATTTTCATTGTGAAGCTGCTTGTGCATTTTTGGGGGGATATTTTAGTTATGGCAATTTGTTGAGGTGTAAAATGAAGCTTGTTTTCCACAGATGACTTGTGTTTGTTTCTACCAGATGCTCAGGGGCACAAAACCAGTCTGGAATGTGTCCAAATTAAATTCTCAGCTTTTATGTTAGAATCCCTATGGCAGGAATACCAGGAACAAGTAAGCATCAAGAATGGTTTGTAGTCCAAGCCTTTGTAGTGGAATCTATACTGCTCAGAACCCAGCTTCAGAGCTGACTTTGATTTGCATTTACCTGTGATGGGTTTGTGTGTTTATTTCCAGTTCATCCTCCTACCCCAACGTGACAGATTTTGGTCTAGTGTCTCACATTCACCTAAAAAGATTTCTTTTCAGGCTCTACACCGTGATCAGTTTCCATTTAACACCTTAAAAGTGAAAGTTAAGGTTTGGGTAAAAGCCAGCTGTACTGCTTGGGGTTTAACATGGGCCAAGTCCCTGAATTCTTTACTTTCTTAGACTCTTTATTGTTTTTAAGAATTCGGAAAATATTATTCAGGCTTTTAGTTATCCATCCAAGTACCAAGCTTGCCACACTATGGAAAACGTATCCCATAATCCATGATTTCATGTTTAGGAGGGCACGAGGTCATTAGAAATTCCAAATTCATTCCCCTTGTAGACGATGATCACCCCCCACCACTCCATCTCAGCCACCACTTGACTCCAAACCTAGCCTCATCCATCTCAGATTTCTTGTCTGAAGGATTGTTCCTTTCCTTCTGGCCACTCCTTCCCAGTTCCCTCCTGTCTTTTTTCCCAGATCCCTTTTTTCCCACAATCATCCATTCCCAAAGCAGTGAAAACCTTTTGTCATCATCCTACCTTGTGCAGAAGCTACATCCTTCCACAAGGGGGTTTTCTTTCCCTTTCTGCCTCTTCCAGTCCTCGGTACTCAGGGGCATCTAAAAAAAGGTAAATTGTACTGCAAAGGGGGCCTCAGTCCTGCGGTAACTTGCCTATCTGCAATCAGACCCTTTAATGATTGTTTGGTTTCTTCCGTTACCTAGAAGACTTTTAAGCTAACAGCTGCCAAAAGAAGACTATAAATTAAATGGCTTTCTGAAAAAGATAGTTACCAAAAGAATTTTAAGGTGTCTCAGTAGCTGCTTCTTCCCACACACCCCCGCCGTCCCGCCTCCCACGCCCCGAAACTCAGAGCCTAGGATACGTCTTTCCTTCCCCCGCTCGCGTAAGCTGACACAGAAACGGCCCCAACTACAAAGCAAACAAACAATAAATCTTTTTAATAGTTCCGTGTTCAGCTCACATTGTATTCATATTCAGCCTTTACTTGCAGTTATTACGTATCTGCATGGTAAAAATTTTACAAGTGGGGCGGGAGTGGTGGTGGAGAAAGCTCCAAACAGAAGGAAGTTGTCAGAGCGTGTGATCTGTTGTGCTCAGGGCCGTCATCACCACACCGAGTCTCGGATCAACATCACGATCAGCTTGGAAGTCTCCACACGAAAACGAAAGGCCTGTACATTTACAATACTGTCAGTTTATGCTAGTGTTGTGTGATACTAATGAGCTAATGATTTACTATGTCCTCACCGTGAACATTCCCATTTCTGGTAGCTATCGTTATTCCCCATAATTTCTATTTTCTCTGCAGTGCCATTGGAAATATGGTGCTGAAAAATCGAAAAATCTCCCTTTCGAAATTAAAGGATTACAACTCATTTATTGAAAACATGCGTGGCTCTTAAAAGAGCCTTTGGGGTTACGTAACAAGACGCTTACTTTGGAAAGTTACTTGGAACTGGTGTACTTGGTGACGGCCTTGGTGCCCTCCGACACGGCGTGCTTGGCCAGCTCTCCCGGCAGCAGCAGGCGCACGGCCGTCTGGATCTCCCTGGAGGTGATGGTCGAGCGCTTGTTGTAATGCGCCAGGCGGGAAGCCTCGCCAGCAATGCGCTCGAAGATGTCGTTGACGAAGGAGTTCATGATGCCCATGGCCTTGGAGGAGATGCCGGTGTCGGGGTGCACCTGCTTCAGCACCTTGTACACGTACACGGAGTAGCTCTCCTTGCGGCTGCGCTTGCGCTTCTTGCCGTCCTTCTTCTGCGCCTTGGTCACTGCCTTCTTGGAGCCCTTCTTCGGGGCGGGAGCGGACTTGGTAGGTTCAGGCATTGTAGCGTTAATTGCAACACTGTTGCAGACACCTGAGAAAATAACCATTCCCACTGAGTTCTCGTTCATTTATAGATGCGGTATTCAAATGAGGTTAATCAGATTTCGTTTATGATTGGATTAATTTAAGCGTGTCGTCACAAATGCCAATGTAAACTACACTTAAAGGTCTACGTTTTCATTGGCTACTTCGTTAGTTTACTTTTACCCAATCAGAAGGCCCATACTAGACTACCCGAGGCTACTATAAATAGACCTCTTCAGTCAAGACAGTTGTGTACTTGTCGTAGAGCAGTTGTTTTAGAGAGCTTTTCGCTTACATTGAAACTACTCATCAGATTAGGAGAGTTCACATTTTCTCCCTCACTCCTGTACTGTAGACTTGCTAATTGGGACATCCCCCAAAGTCTGGCAGCAAGCCCTTTATCCAGGTACCACGTTAGGGAACAAATCTTTTCTATAGTGACAGCTTCTGATCTTTATTGCAGTGGTCTCCCCAACCATTTGACATAAGAGCGCTTAGGCAATTGTGTCTGTACTACGCCCCTTATGTCCCGATACATACGCTTCTGCGGAGTGTAATACGTGGAAGTGGTATGTGTTCGTTTTCGGAGTGCCGGAGACCCAGTAAGCAAGCCTGAATAACCCAAACTGACTCTTCTCTATGCTATTATCTACCGGCCAGGTCCTCCTAGGCATGCCACAGATGGGCTGCGCTCCAGAATTCGAGAGCGCAATAAAACCGCGATGACGCCACTACACTCGAGCTTGGAAGACAGAATGCTCAAGACTTCGCATACTTAAAGACTTTACTTCTCTCCCTACCGGCTATCTCCCCGGGAGACCCCGCCCCTCCTTGGCGTGGTCTTTCTCCCAGCCACGCCCCCTGAGTGCAACAGCTCTTTTACTGAGATGGGTGGGTGGCTCTGAAAAGAGCCTTTGGGTTGTGTTGAGCTTCAAAGCAGTTGGCCAAAGTAACTTCTTACTTTTTCTTGGCTGCCGCCTTCTTTGGCTTGGCTGCCTTAGGCTTGGCGGTCTTTGGTTTAGCCGCCTTGGGTTTCACTGCTTTGGCCTTCGCTGGGCTCTTGGGCGCCTTTTTTGGCTTGGCTGCTTTCGCCTTTTTCGGGCTTTTCGCTTTTTTGGCTCCAGCAGCCGCAGCCGGCTTCTTCGCCTTCTTTGGGGTCTTCTTGGCGGTCTTCTTAGGGGTTGCTGCCCCCGTCGCCTTCTTAGGCTTCTTCGCCGCTCCCGTGGGCTTTTTTGCCTTCGCCGCGCCTGCCTTTTTAGCCTTAGGCTTGGCTTCCCCAGAGGCTGCCTTCTTGTTGAGTTTGAAGGACCCCGAAGCGCCGGTGCCCTTGGTCTGCACCAGGGTACCCTTGCTCACCAGGCTCTTGAGACCTAGCTTGATACGGCTGTTGTTCTTCTCCACGTCATAGCCAGCTGCTGCCAGCGCTTTCTTGAGAGCGGCCAAAGACACGCCGCTGCGCTCCTTGGAGGCGGCGACAGCCTTGGTAATGAGCTCGGACACCGGGGGCCCAGAAGCTTTGCGCTTAGCCGCACCTGCAGACTTGCGGGCCTTCTTCTTGACGGGTGCCTTCTCGGCAGGGGCCGGAGCAGCGGGCGCGGCAGGCGCAGTCTCGGACATGTTGAAGGCAGGCGTGAGAGAGAGCAATTCGAGCCGGAAGCAGAGGCACTGGCCGGGACTCGGGCCGCGGCGCTGCGCCCGCCCGTTTATATAGGGCGGAGCTGCGCCGTGATTGGTGCGCTGTCCAGCCCGCCTCGCTGGCAGCCGCAGAGTGTCCTCTCGGATCCCGAGTTGTGTTTGTTACACCTCAAAAAAAGCCAAAAATATAAAAATTGTCTACACCGAACTGCCCGATTTTTCTCAGATAATGATCCCCGAAGCCTCAGGCTTCACGCAGATCTCAAATTATGAGGAAAGCACAAAGCCTTGTGCCAAAAACTTGCAATATTTCCCACCGTGCTTGGCAAATTTCAACTCAGAGAAACAAAACTTTCTATTTTCTTCGTAAATTACAAACCGATCTTTAACTGTGGAGTTTTCTGACCTCTCAAATATGATTCTCCAAGTGGTTAGCTTCTTATATGTCCAAAAAGCATGCCACTGGCATTGAGATTTTTATTACAAATCTGCACTTAAGTGAGGGAAGTAACACAGGCTCCTCGGAGAGTCCTGCCTATTGAGCCGAGGGCATTTGAGTTCATCAAACTGATTTACTTTAATGCCAAACAAATTATTGCCCATTTGGGATTAAGTTTTGGACCCCTGGGACATCATTCTATGCAGCCATGATTTTACTTCTGTCCGCTACACCTGAGTTTTTAAACAATTCCTTTGGATAATTCTTTCCCTTTCTGCTCCCAAGGGTTGGGGGCGGGGCTGTTGCTTCTCTCTTCCCCTGGACAACTGCTCCATGGATTGAGATACCTTGAATTCGGGGTATTTGGGACCGAAGGGAAGTCCAAAATATACTCAGGGTACAGAGATGAAAAAGGATTAATTTTTAAATGTGATGTTCATAAAGTCACTGGAAGTGGAGGTGCACTTTAAAGAAATTGTCTGCAGCCTTGCTGAATGCTTTTGGCATATGCTTCAGAACCAAATTGCAATAAGGTATTTTAGAGCCGAAATTCAAGAGCTGATGATGAGGGAAAATAAATAAGAAGAGTAGACTGAAACAGATCTACTCCCATTATTAGAGAAACCCAGCCCCTATTATTACTGAATAGTTGAGGAATGACTAGTCCACTTACCATGCATGGTTTCAATTTCCCTGAAGACTGTGTCCCAATGTTTCCCAGAGTGCATAGAAAGAAAAATAAGTGACATATAGTAATTAAATGATAAGTTCAAATTTCAATCTCAGATTTAGAGCTTTGAGAGTCTATCTAAGCTACTATAAATCATTGCTCTCTGTAAACATCCTTTGAACAATGTGTGAAAGAGTGAATTTCTTTAGGTAGTTGCCCAACCAAGAAAAGTGTCCGTACGTTGGCAATGAAAGCATCATTAAAAGAATTATTCTATAAAACGGTATGGCTGGAACAGTATGGGTGAAACTGCAAACCATTATCATGGAAACTAAAATTTTGCCAACTGCTACAAGGTGATATGGTACTGTTCTTTGGATGTCGCTGATTGTAACATGGCGTTGGATATCACTTTGAATTTTAATTTCATTGCTCAAAATCTCCAGACACAATTTCTGCTACTGAAATAAAGAGAATATAGAATTTTGATATAACATGAGTGAAATGTATCGAAACAGTACTGTTTAATGTTGAATTTGGTATAAAAGTGATGTAAATTATCAATGTGTTTAATATCATATTGTGTAAATATTTTCAATCTAATTAGTGCACAACAGTGCAAAAATAAATGTGCTCTTTGCTATTCATTGAAATAAAAAGGGAGATGGATAAATCTCTAAAACAGTCTAGGGAAACTTGCTTTCACCTGCCTCATTTTATTCACTGTATTCGCTATGGCTAGGAGGAAACTCTCCAAATTCTGTGGTCTTTGAGCTTTCATTGCTTGCCCTCCTAACGTGTGGTGTTTTTTTATTTTTTTTCTTTTCTTTTCTTTCTTTCTTTTTTTTATTTTCAGATGGAGTCTCACTCTGCCAGGGCTGTAGTGCAATTACGCGATCTCCGCTTACTGCAGCCACCGCCTCCTCCTCCACATGCAAGGGCTGGGTGCGGTGGCTCACACATGCAATCCCAGCACTTTGGGAGGCTAAGGCAAACGGATTATTGGAGGTCAGGAATTCGATACCATTCTGACTAACATGGTGAAACGTCGTCTCTACTAAAAAAGAAAAGGCTGGTGTTGTGGTAAGCGCCTGTGACCCCAGCTACTCGGGAGGCTGAAGCAGGAGAATCGCTTGAACCTGGGAGGCGGAGGTTGCAGCGAACGTGCCAGTGCCGTCGAGCCTGGGTAAAAGAGATTGACGATTGGCCGCTAATTAAATCAAGCACCTATTTGACACTTTTCTGTGATGAAATAAGACTAATACCAAAAGACCTCACTTTCTTCTTGATCAGAGGGCTGGCTATCTCAAAACTAGCCATGTGCACACACACACGTTCACGACTGTCTTTATTTATTTTTGAGACGGAGTTTCGTTCTTGTCGCCCAGGCTGGAGTGCAATGGCGCAATTTCAGCTCACTGCAAACTCCGCCTTCCGGATTCGAGCGATTCTCCTGTCTCAGGCTCCCAAGTATCTGGGATTACAAGCGTCTGCCACCACGCCCAAGTAATTCTTGGGTTTTTTTTTTTTTTTTTTCTTTCGCCTGGTAACAGTGCAAGACTGTCTAAAAAAAAAAAGAAAAAAAGAAGAAGAAAAGATATACATGCTGAATATGACCATATATTGTGAAGATTCAATCTTGACTTTCTTTGATTCACACCTGGCTGGCCACTGTAGTGGGCTCAAGAAGGAGAAAGGAGAGTAAAGTTCCGCATTCAATGAGTCATTATTTTCCAACCACAGAAGGTAGACTGAACCATGGCTGCCTGTGGACGACTGCGATCCTCTAATACAGCAACTACATAACTTATCGCTTTTTATCATTTTTAATCATAGTTATATTTTCCATTTTTTGGCTACTGTACTATGTGCTATCTGCATCCCCCGCCCCCGCCTTCACACACACACACACACACACACACCTGGGCTGCAGCCTGAGCTACCTGCATTCTTTAGTCAATGTAACAATCCTCTGTTATGGATAGTTATCTCCACTCTAGAAAGGAGAAAACGGACATGCAGAGGTTAAGAAATTCTCTTGAGAAAACTGGTGGTGAGAGGTACTGTCCAGGTCGGGCTAGGTGGAGGCAGGCGGATTGCCTGAGCTCAGGAGTTCACAACCAGCCTCAGCAACATGGTGAAACCCTGTCTCGACAAAAATACAAAAAATTAGCCGGGCGTCGCGGAGTGCGCCGGTAGTCCCAGCTACTCGAGAGGCTGATGCAGGAGAGTTGCTTGAATTCAGAAGGCAGAGGTTGCAGTGAGCCGAGATCGCGCCATTCCACTCCAGCCTGGGCAACAGACTAAGACTCCTTCTCAATAATAATAATAATAATAATAATAAAAGACATTCCAGATTCCAGTGCGCATTGGTTTTACTTCAAAGCCTGTACTCTATTAAGCAGTGTTTTCTCAAGCTGCAGATCTGAACAAGCATGTAAAGTTGTGAAATCAATTTAGTTGTCAAGGCCAAAATATTTATCTGTTGGGTGAATTAGAATTGAATATAAAATACCAGTTCTCATTGCATGTAGTTTTAGTTATATACACAAATCTTTGTATTAGGCCCTTATATAAAAGATATTGGCCGGGTGCGGTGGCTCAAGCCTGTAATCCCAGCACTTTGGGAGGCCGAGGTGGGTGGATCACTAGGTCAAGAGATCGAAACCATACTGGTCAACATGGTGAAACCCCGTCTCTACTAAAAATACAAAAACTTAGCTGAGCATGGCGGCATGTGCCTGTAATCCCAGCTACTCAGGAGGCTGAGGCAGGAGAATTGCCTGAACCCGGGAGGCGGAGGTTGCGGTGAGCCGAGATCGCGCCATTACACTCCAGCCTGGGTAACAAGAGCAAAACTCCCTCTCAAAAACAAACAAACAAACAAACAAAAAAAAGATATTTCTACTGTACCTCTTCACATGTCCAGAGTGATAGTATGTCTTTCTTATGCAATTTCCTGAGCTTTTATAGTCATAAAATATTATCAAGTATGTTGCTCTTTAATGAGCTAAGAAAGTAATTTTTTTATCACTGACATTTTTAAAGCCCCTGAGTGGTGGAAAATGGGAGACACGCATATCTTTTTTATTTTGGATATGATAGGAGTAATATGGAGCTACAAATATGATTATAAACTAAAGGGAAATGTGATTTGAGAAAAATTGAAAGAAAAGATTGTGTGTGGTTGCTGTTACGTCACAGTTCTGTACTTAAGGAGTTTAATTCTGAATTTCTGTATTTTAGTATGATGTTACCATGATTGCTTTATTAAAGACAGAGTTAGGAAAAGAAGAGCTTTATACTAGATAGATATATTATCTTCAGCATTGTTTTTCTTTTTACTTAAGTCAATAATTAAAGCTCTGGGTTGCACGCCCACAGTTATTCATCACAGCAATGTTTGGAATTGTAAAATATTTCAAACAACTTTAATGCTCCTACATAACAGAGTTGTTGGATAAAGCAGGACACATTTACACAGTACAGTAATATGCAGCTACAAAAATGACTTTGATCTCCGTAAAGTAGTATACAGTGAATTCCAGGATATACATTTAAGTGATAAGGCAAAGTACAAAAGAATATATACATAATACAGTGAACTTTATATTGAGGAATTCTGGCAATAACCACCTTAACTAAGGTAAACATCACAAAGTAGGAGACATGTGTGCATTAGAAACTCATTGCATCGAGGACATTTTATCGCTTTGGGAGTATTTCCTGTGAAAAACACATAAACTCACTCCAGTGAAAAAAAAGGGAAATTCATCAAGGGATATTCTTCAAAATAACTGATCAGCACTCTTTAAAAGTGTGAACATCATAAATATAAGAACAGACTGCCGAACTAATACAGACTTAAAGAGACTAAGAAACAAGTAATGACTAAATTCAATGTGAGATCAAGAATAGGATCCTGAGACAGAAAAAAAAAATTAGTGGGAAAATGTGTGATATTTCAATAGGTCTGATGTTTAGTTAATATTTTACCAACTCTTTTCCTATTTCTGATAATTGTGTATAGCTAGGTAAAACATTAACATTAGAGGAAAAGAGTTGCTGAAAATAAGAAATATTGCGTACTCTTTTTGCAATTTTGTTTTGCAAATTTTTGCAAAAAAAAAAAATCTCTTAGTATTTCACAATGTTAGAATACTGTTCATACATGGTAAAAAGAAAAAATACAAAATACCAGAATGTGATATAGATTCTTCATAGCGGTGGGAAAAAAAATAACATAGTAACACTTAAGGGAGGGAGGAAGATAAAAATTAAATAATGTTGGAAAACAAAATTGATTGGATACTGGCTGGCTGGGTGCAGTGCCTCACCTGTAATCCCAGCACTTTGGGAGGCTAAAGTAGGCAGACTACCTGCGGTCAGGAGTTTGAGACCAGCTTGGCAAACATGGTGAAACACTGTCTTTACTAAAAATACAAAAATCAGCTGGCTTTGGGGCAGGCATAAATCCTGCCTTTAAGGTCAAAACAACCTTATTATTGTAAATACATACTTACTATAATCCTGCCCTTGGGCAATTTCTCTATGGTCTCTCAGCCCTAGGGGTTGGGATGGGGTAAGGGTGAGTGGGCAGATTCACCAATTTGTCAGGAGACAGGGCTTCTGTTTATAAATCCCTGTTAAATGTTTCTGAGAAACTGGATTTGTCATCTTCCTTCTTATGCCTCTCAGTTTCCTTGGCCTTAGGAGGCAGATATGCATAGAACTAGTAATGGAGGAAGATGTTTTAAGTATTATATACCTGTTTAATTTACGACAGTTACAATGTAAGTGTAGTGGATGACAATTAGACTATTGCAACATAGTCATAAACTTTACTATAGACTACATTGGTTTTGGCAATAGAAGCAACTTTTCTATTCAGTTAGGCATTGAACCTATAATCATTTTTAAAAACAATCTTTTCAGCATCTATTCATTCAAACTTCTGGCCGCTGTCTTTGGAAGAGGTGGTTTAATGAATGCATTGCATTTGGCCTTTTTGTGTATCTTCACTTTTTCAGTTTCTCTCTTTATCTGTGATACCTCCTGTTATTGTTTCCTCAATATCTCTTTACTTTTCCCTCTCCATTCCCCTTATATTATATGAATTTGTTGGTTTATAAATGTAAGGGTTTTCGATTTACACATGAAAAAGCTGCAGTGGCAGCTTTGCATAGTGTTTTAACAGATCAATTCTTGTGTAGACTCTATTGCTACATAACATATTGTCCAAAATCTAGTGGCTTAAAATGATAGTAAATATTCATTATGTCACACAGCTTCCATGATTCAGGAATTTGAGGATGAGGGAAGAGTGGTTTCAACATGGGATGTCTCATGAGGCTGGAGTCGAGATATTTGCTGGGACTTAAGTCATCTGCAGACTTACACTGAAGAATGGGGCTCGAAGATTCCCCGATGGCTCACCTGGCTAGCAACCTGGTGTTGGCTATCAACAGAAGACTTCCGTTCCTTGGCACATGACACCCTCTGTAGGGCTACACGAGGGCTCAGTATCTGGCAGCTGGCTTTCCCCAGAGTGATTTAAGAGAGAGCAAAACAGAAGTCAGAATACCATTTATGACTTAACTTTGGGAGTCACAATATTTGTTAGTTTCATAGATCAGAGCTATCCAATTTGGGAGGGAGATACAGAAGCCTGTGAATACCAGATGAGAATTTATTGAGACATCTTGGAGTCTGGGTATCAGAGTTCTAGAGACGTACTACTCCGTTTCGATCTCAATTCTCTATCATTTACTAGGTGACTTTAAGAAACTTACTACACTCTATTTCTCAATTTTCTTGTGCCTAAAATTTGGACAGGAATATTGCAGTAAATTGTACTATTGCTTTCATGTTTTTGCCTCCGTTTTTGGGAGTAGTATATATTCTTGACCATTGACATGGGTTTACAATATTCCTCTCCATATGAGGAGCACTCTTTCCTACTACCTGCATATCAGTCTTTACATGTGAGCTGCTTTGCTTCTACTCAATGAAATATGAGTAAAGTGTCCACTTTCCTGCAGAATCTTTGAACATAATGAGATCCCTTTATGTCAATTTCTCTCAGCCTGGATCTCGCTATGAAGGAGATATGTTTCAGAGCCATTGCTGATAACAAACAGAAATAGAATGTGAGCCCAAAATAACCCTTTTTGTTATTATCCACCAAGATTTGAGGAGTTGTTATGTAATTTCACGAAAAACTTCAAGATGACAACTATTACCTGCTTTAGTAGGATTGTTGCCAGGATTAGATAATATTTTTGAAGTGCTTGTAACAATGCCTGGCACATGGTAAGAATATCTGTTACTATGATTATTCAAACCTAAATTCACATGAGAGAGGTTTATGAACCATACCATTACTTTATCAATTTATAATTAAAGAGACATTTTATATTAAAAATAAGTATCAGAGATGTTTTTATTGCATTACTTTCTGGTGTGGAGACAAAGATTCAAATTAGAAGATAATTTCTCAGCATAGAGTTATAATCAAAGACATTTTTATCAAGCAGTGGTCTCTGATCAGTCAGGTTTTCTATCCTAGGGACACTTGTGTACTACATTCTGCTCTGTGGAAAAGATACAGTGAACAACTCACCATTCTATGAATTCTTCCTTTTCTAGGTGAGCTCCAATCTTTCTTTTTCATGGTTGCTCTTACATGAACTCTCCGAATTTGTTGTATGGAGACTAAAGTAATTCAATCTTAGATGCTAATCTGCCATATTGACTCCCATATAATCCAAGTTCTGGGAATGCCTCTACGGTTTCTACTTTCACCTACTTACCATGAATAAAGTTTGTTAATCTGCATTGCTGTTCCATATTATGAATATGGCCCGGTGCATTTAGTTACCTAGTCTACTCACGGACATTCTCATGGTTGTATAACCTGGCAAATTTAGTTTTGTCGACTCTTCTGACTTCTGTCTCTAAACTATCTCATAAGAAATTTGATGATTCTCAGGCCACCGTGGTGTCTGAAAACCAGGATGCATGTGGAGACCATGTTTGGGCATTTCTCTCCTCCCTTCTTCTCTGTTTCCCCCACTTCTCCCCTCCCTCTCAAATTTCAGTAAAGCTGAACACAACCAACTAAATTGACTTCATAAATAGCAATCAGAACACTGAAGAAATACTAGGTTATAGGCATGATTTTTTTTTTTTTTTAATGGTGATGGCCAGGCACAGTGGCTCATCCCTGTAATCCAGGACTTAGGGAGACCAAGGTCGGCGGATCACCTGAGATCGAGAGTTTGAGACCAGCCTAACCAACATGAAGAAACCTTGTCTCTACTAAAAATACAAAATTGGCCAGGCATGGTGGTGCACGCCTGTAATCCCAGCTACTCGGGAGGATGAGGCAGGAGAATTGCTTGAACATGGGAGGTGGAGGTTGCTGTGAGCCGAGATCGCACCATTGCACTCCAGCCTGGGCAACAACAATGAAATTCTGTCTCAAAAAGGAAAAAAGAAAGAAAAGAAAAATGGAGATAAGAGTATAAGGGTTATTCTAAGGATTAAGACAAATACTTAATCCTTATACTCTTACCACCGTTTTTAGAGGTGGGTATGATTTTGTCTGTAGAGTACATACTATGTGCTTAGAATAGTACCTAGCTCATAGTATGTACTCTACAGACAAAATCATACCCAAAGATGTTAATTACCCATGTTCTTACAGCTAAGATAGCTGCCTCTCTGCCTGAGATTTTTCTAGTAACGAATTCTACTTTGTAGATTATTGTTACCCCAAGTACCAAAAAATTTTATTTTCCTAATTGTTTCCTTTATTTTTTTTTTCTTCTGAGACAGAGTCTCACTCCTGTTTCACAGGCTGGATTGCAGTGGCATAATCTCTGTTCATTGCAGCCTCTGCCCCTTGGGCTCAAGTAATCCTCCCACCTTAGCCTTCAGAGAAGCTGTGACTACAGGTGAACGCCACCATGCCCTGCTAATTTTTGTATTTTTTGAAGAGGCAGGATTTTGCCATGTTGCCCAGGCTAGAACTTTATTCCTAAGCACTCTTCCTTGATTTGGAGATGAGACACAAAGCAGGGAGTGGACTAAAAAACACGAAGTGATTTGTAAGATAATGCACTTATTTTATGAAGTCAGGGCATGATTCATGTCAGCTTTCCTCATAGTTTCTACCAGTGATGCTCACCTTCTGGAATAAGGACAATTCGGGGTTTTATGTTTTCTGTTTCTTTGCCTTCTTCCCACTTTAGTCTGATATAATGGTTCCACCACTTCCCAATCAGACTGCCGTTCGTAAACATTCCTTATGGAAAAATTCTAGAGTTCCCAATATTCAGAGATTTAAGGGACCACAGATATCACAAATCCTTCCACTTTACAAAACAAGAATCTTGAGCCCAGAGGGGTGAAGGTACATCCGGAAGAAGTGACCATCCTCTAGACTTCCAGCGGCATGAGGACCAGGTCAGATATTTAGGACTGGCAACAACTCCCAACTGTGCTCTTTGCACATGAGTTGCTCAGGAGAGGGCAATGCTCATTCAGTCCTACTGTTTGTCAGGGCATAAGTACAGTCCACTCTAGAGATGTCATATACAGGAAATTAAATAGATGTAATTTGATAAACAGGTGATGAAAGAGTGGAGAGACCCAAGAGAGGGGGTGAGGGCAACCCACAGATAAGCTGCAGCAGAAAGTTGCTACCTCCGTCCTCTGGGAACAAAGGGAAGAGGTGATGCTGGAGTCAAGCAGGAAGAGCACAGTCTGGAAAGGCAGGAACTGAGAGCAACAGGAGAAAGGCTCTGTGGTAGGACTGGAGTCAAAGTATCAAGGAGGCTGGAGAAGCCTCAGGAAACAAAGGAAAACTGACATACTCTGGCCCCACCATCATCTTTCATCAGTGACACTCATTGGCCAATTCTACTGGAAACTCAAGAGCAAGGAAACCTGGGAAATGTAGTTTCCATTGAGGAACAGCAGCATCAGAGAGTAAATGGGCAAGTGATAGAACAATCCGAAACTCAAACACAAATATTTCTACAATTTTGGATGTCTAAGCATCCCTGTACTTGCACTTAGAAGTGCCCTAGAAAACACAAAGGTGCACTTCCATTTTTAAGGATGTCGTATTAAGAAGACATTTTGCCTTGTTTTGAACAGGTTGTGATTTACCCAGTGTGGCAGCTATTCTCTAGGATGATCCCGGCCTCTGAGTGTTCATCCTCTGGCATTATCTCCTCTCCCGTGTGCTGTGCCTAGGAACTTGCTTCTAACAAATAGCATATGTCAAAAATGATGGTGTGTCATCTTTGAGATTAGGTTACACAAGGTTATGTGTGCAGCGTTCGCACCACGGGCTTGAGACAGTTAGCGTTACTCGCCCCATCTTGGCCGCTGGACCTATCTGCACTCCCCCATCTCGAGGGCTGTCGAGCTGAGACAAAGGTCGTGGGCTAAGTCACTGAGGCAAAAACAGAATACAAAGCAAAGGTCTGCAGTTTATGAGGACATTGTGCTGTCTGCTTTCATGTCCCCATCAGTCTCTGTGTAAGCAATAAACTTGCTGCAACTGAGATGCCTAAGAGGGACAAGAGACCCCTGCTCATATTTTCCCTGGAGCTAAGCCTTTGTTCTACCTCCTGATGGAAAACAGGATTCACAAGCCACCTTAAGGGCACCATTGTTTGGTAGCACAGTGTATCTTTGAAAAACATAAACTGCTTTGTAAACGATTACCACAAGCCCCCTTAAACTGCTTTGTGAGCAGTTATCACAAGCCCCTGATCACTATTTTTATGGAGTTTCTATTTCCTTTCTGTTTACCCCTTTCCTGCTGAGATAAAGTAAATGTAACAAGAAAAAAGGTATAAAAGCTGTAACCCACAAGAATAAACTTGCTGCGTTTTGACCATAAGTTACACAGACCTCCAGACTCCACTTTACTATTTTCTTTCACCTCCGCGCACTCCTCCCTCAGGTTGAACGAGACATCTACGTTGGCGGTCTCGGGGACTCCCCCAGGTCGGTAGCCCCCCCAGCAGATGTGCTGGACCCCAACACTTATGGCTTCTTTCTTGTGCCCTCTCACTTGCTCATTCTTTTGGAATAAAGTCAGCCATGTGGTGCACTGTCCTGTGGAGAGGCCCACATAGGGATCTGAGGCCTTTGGTCTAACAGCCCTGGAAAGAATTGAATCATGTGAAGGAGCTTAGAAATGGATCGATTACATGCAGTTTAGATAGTATAGAAAACCATAATAAATTTGGGCAACAAGGAATAGCGATCTCATCTTGAGACACAGCTTCTGATCTAAAAGTTAGACCCAAGCAGTCTGGTTTGTAATCACAAAGACAGAGGACTGATTCACAAGTTCTGTAGCATGAACACATGTGGGCCCACCAGAAACCAGAAGCTCAACTCTTAGGTCCTGCACCACTGAGTGCTACTGTGGCATCTGTGGCATGTGGCATCTGTGGCATATGGCAGTAGGACCTCCGCATATTTCAACACTACCCAGTGCAAAATAGGAAGGAAACTGTTCTACAGTGCTCCTTTAAAAATAGCTAATGTTAAATGGAGAGGAAAGAGAGATAGTGGGCAAACAATGGACGACAGAAAGGGGGCATAAACGGAAAATCACAGAGGGAGCTATGCGTTTGTGACCTCACTAAGAGCATTTGAGAAGACGAGATACAAGGTGATTGGAATAATGGTTTAAAAGTTAAATCCTAGCCCCTTAATGAAAGCTTATATCCAGTCATTTCCACTGTCCACCACCTTCCTCTGAATTTAATTCCTCTCGTGGCTTCTGCCTGTCTTGTCAGCAGGCACAGCATTGCTTGTGACAGCTGGAAGTAGTGGGCAGAGGGTTGCAGATACACAGTGCCTGTTCTCCTGCAGCCTACGGAGCCCTGAGTCCAGGAAGTGGGTAGCCTGAAGCACAGAGGGGCTGTGCTCCAGAAAGGGACCCACACACAGCCTGGGCTGCTCCTTTTCTAGTGAAAGCATGAAAGCAGAATTGATAAAGAGAATAAACATTTTCTGTGTGGGTGTCAGCTGAGAAAGCCAAACTTCCAGCACCTGGGAACATTGGCTGATCCTCCCACTGGGAAAGAAGCATCCGTTGTTCCCAGTTCATTGCCAGGCAACCCAGAGAAAGTCCCTGGGGTCACTTGAAGAGCTCTGCTTGAGTCTTCACGGTGCCTTTGCATTCCTAGCTACGCTGTTGCTGACAGTTCACACTCCCAGCATCACCATCCACAAGACCACTTTCTCAGAAGGCCTCCCTGCCCCTCTGACAGTGGGAAAATGGCCATCCGTGGGCCTTACTGTGAAGGTGAAATTCAAACCGGTGAGTATCTGCAAAAAGAGTGGTCTAGGCTTCCTCATAAACCTGGGAGAGCAGACATGAAAACGGCTGAGGCGGGAAGCAATATAAATATATATGCAGTGAGTACAGCTCCTGGGAAAGAGTATGGAACTTTAATCAGACCAGAAGCATAGGGATCACTGAGACAGGCCCCTTCTGGATAGGAAAACAGCACAACAGAGGAGGGACCCCATGTGCCTGTGCCAGATTGAGTTGGGGAGTGGGGAGACAGATGAGGTTATCATTCCCAGGAAGCAGCAGAGAAGATTCACGGCAGTGGTGTGCTGATGCATGTTTATTGGCTCTCGAGGAACGAAACAAAAAACCCTGATATGCCATGTGCTAGTTCCCACGGTGCAAATACTGCCATTATGGCCAATTTCAGCCCCAACGTTACACTGGCCACAGAGCAGAAAGGAAGGAAAGCTTCAAAATGTCACTTCGGTCTCTAATTGAAGGTCAGAGAAAATGACAATGTGAAGGGCAGAAATATAACTCAATGTGTGGATGTGGAAAAGCCACTGACTTGTTTCTGTGACCATGCCTAAGGCCAACCAATTCAGAACCCCAGCCTCTTCATCCTCAGTATGAACTGTCCTAAAGGAAATGCCAAGTTTCTTTCTGTGCTTTCATTGAGTCTTTCCTCCTATAGGGCCAGTCTACCTAGGGCCTTCCTCATTTTTCTTTCCTATGCCAAGATTGCTCAGGGACAGTCAGGATGAATTCTCCACGTCCTCACTGAAGGTAGAAAGTCAAATTGAACCAAAAGCAGAATGGGCAGAGTAGGGGGCATCCTGTTTGGAAAGCCTGTGCTTCTGGAAAGGTGGCTCAGCTGAGGTACAAACATGCATGCCCTCAAGTGGGGCTGCTGCTTCTGAACCTGGAGTTTACTTGGTGGGAGGTGTGTGGTTGCATTCCACCACCATCCAACATTCCATGTGTATCAGGCTGACTCTTCTAAAAGCTTCATTTAGCCATGGGGGCAAACTGCAACCAGAAGCCGTATAGTACTTAGGCGTAAGAATCCCAATTACTTCCATCTCTGCAGGTGGAAGCTAGCAAATCTCTGCCAGAAATCCCAGCATCCTCTCCTGCATTCACTTCTTCCACATTTGAAAATGATAGACTAACAGATGATAGTCTTTATATAAACTTGCACATAGTTATGTCAGGTTTCACAAGGAACAAACTGTTTTCTCATGTGCCATCTCGATAGTTTTTCACAACTCTGGGAGGTACTATCATCTTATTTTACAGAAGAAAGACTCTGACATGGCAGGTAACTAATCCCATCAGACACTTGGTGAGTGGCAGGGCTGGAACAAAAGGTCAAGTATTTTGGCTCGATTCCTGTGTTTTTCCAGAACACCTGGGTGCATGTCTATGCAGGGTTGTCTGTGTGTGTACACACCAGAAAAACCCCTGCTTTTTATAGGTTTATTGTATAGACCTTTTTCACTTTTTGAGACAATGCCTTGCTCTATTGCCCAGAGCTGGAATGCAGTGCTACAATCATGGCTCTTTGCAGCCTTGACCCCCGTGGGTCAAGCAATCCTCCCACCTCAGCTCCTGAGTAGCTGAGACCAGAGTGCAGCCCCACCACTGCAGCTAAATTTTACATATTTTGTAGAGAAGGGGGTTCGCCATGTTGTCCAGGCTGGTCTCGAACTCCTGGGGTCAAGCTCTCTGCCTGCCTCAGCTTCCCCAAATGCTGGGATTACTGGCCTGAGCCACAGTACCTGGCAAGGCATTTCTTAAGAATAAATTGGGTGTCCCTTCTTCATACTCAGCCTAGGAGATTGAGGTGGCTGTCTCACCAGCTCCTGAAAATTCAGGGCCAGAATTGAAATTTCCACCCAGAGTAAGCCTCATGAATTCATGAGCCATTTACTGAGTGACTGTTTGCCAGTAAGGCATCCACTGCTGTATTCCCGGCTCTCAGTGTGGGCTCCCAGCATTCAGAACCATGCTGGGAACTGGGAAGACAGCAGTGGACCATGCATGTCCCCAGCCACCAGGACACACAGATTGTTTTACGAGTAACAGAGACAGTCTTAAAACCAGACCTTGACTGCAGATGAAAAAGGCAAAAGAGGGCAGGCAGGTCAGGAGGATGTTTCCTAATTCCTATGCAAGGCAGGCAGGAAATGGCAATTTCACCAGGGAGATGTCCTAGGCAGAAAAATGATAACACATGCCTTCCTCCCCCTTTGCATTACCTTTTATTTCCTTATGCCAGAGTGGAATTTGTGGAATCTGCTTCTATTACAATGTATTATATATATTACTAAGATTGTATATATTACAAATAAAATTATTTCAAAATTAAGAAATTATACAGTGCAATTAAAATTAAAGGTAATTTCAAAATGAAATTATTTGTGCTGATCTTTAGAGCACCAACCAATTCATACACATGATCTTCATTTTAGAGGGGAAGAAACAGGTTTGAAACAACTCAATGATTGTCTCAAAAAAAAAAGACAAAAAACTATGACCGAGTCTCATCCAGGCTGGAGCGCAGTGAACTTGGCTAACTACAACCTCGCCTCCCCAAGTTCAAGCAGTTCTCTTGCCTCAGCCTCCCAAGTAGCTGAGAGTACAGGCACATGCCACCATGCCTGGCTAAGTTTTTGCATTTTTATTAGAGATGGAGGTTTCACCATGTTAGTCAGGATAGTCTCCAACTCCTGACCTCATCTGATCCACACACCTTGGCCTCCCAAAGTGCTGGGATTACAGAAGTAAGCCTCTATGCCCGGCTCACATAGTTTTTAGAAGAACCTTGAACCTAACCCAAGAGTGACTGCAATTTTCAGTTCACTTACCACCATTCCAGCAGAATAGCACAGCAATTTCAATTTTGCAGTAAATCAGGGTTAATAATCCCAGAACTGTTTGATAGCAAAATACTACAACAAATCAAGTAAGTGCCTACCAACAGAGGACAGGTTACATAAAATATAATGCATTTGCATCATGCAATACATGGAAGCTCTGCATGTTCTCATAGGGAAAGTTCTCCAAGATAGACTGTTAGGAAAAGGGCTAGTGCAGAATAGTGTATGCAGTCTGCTACCTTCCAGGGATGAAAGAAGTGAAGATTACACCTATCGTTCATTTTTGACTGATATCAGCAATAATGAATACTGGGCAGATACACAGGAAAAAGAAAGTAATCCCCTGGGATAAGTTAAGGTGTGGATTCTCTCTCTCTTTTTATTTCAAATCGTTTGAACCCTGTGAATGTAATACTTACATTAAAAATTAAACACATTTTGTACTCAAAAGAACTTTTGAGGGATCTGTGGGATCACTCCCGTGTGAGGCCCCTAAGAAATGGGCCTCGCCATACGGTGAGCTTGAGCCCGGACACAGATCCCCGGTTGGGGGAGTCGAGCTGAGGGAAAGCAGGAACCGAGAGAGGGACTATGTTATTCAAAATAATTAACAGACATTACTTTATGGATATGAGGACTTGGGAGGCATTGTGTCTACTTTCGGCTCCTTATGGTTTATTGCTTGATTGTGTTCATTTTGGACCCTTGTTACCTTCATTGTAAAATATTAACTTAAGTATTTACACTTGGTAACTTACCGTAACTTACTGGGTGTAACTGTAACTTGCTTACCTTGTAACTTAACTTAAGTATTTACAATTGTTAAGTACTTACTGGGCGTAACTTACTTACTGGGCATAACTTACTTGCTGGGTATAACTTACTTGCCTTGACTTACTGGGCGTAACTTGCTTACTGTAACTTAAGTACGTTGATCTGGCATAAACAACATTAACTTCAGAAAAGTATATAATGGAACATATTGCAAAAATAAAATTGCTGCTTGGACATAGCCTAAGCCAGCCCTCCAGACTCCGCTTGTCACTTTTCTTTCACTTCCGCGCACTCTCTCCCTCAGGTTGGATGAGACATCTACGTTGGCGGTCTCAGGGACTCCCACAGGTCAGTAGCCCCCTGGCAGACGTGCCGGGCCCCAACGAACGTTCCCTTGATTAATATTGTTTCCCTCCATTTTACCCTCCTTACTGCCCCCACACGTGATGTACACTGTTTTTAATATAAAGATTTTCAGATGCAGAATCAATCAATGATGCAGGAACATTGATGCCATCCATCCACTTATTCCTTAGAATTGGTAGGTTTGGCAGGCACTCAGGATCCTGGCATCTCTCTGGAATGAGAAGCTTTTGCAACCTAAGAGAGAAGAAAAGGTGAATATATCTAAAAACCTCCTTCCTGGCCTTCCTTACACATACAGAAAACTTTACAGATCCTTTTCTTCATAATGAGTTAGCTTGTTTACAGGTACCAACCCTTCTCGATTTCTCAAAAAGCTCACTGCGATGCCCTGTCCTCCAGGCTACACACCCCAGTTTTGCTCTTCTGATAGGGTTGGCACATTAAAAATACAACAGCAGTTGTTTCTTTGTTGTTGTTATTTTAAAGTAGAGGATGTCTCATGGAGTATCTGGGGTGGTGCAGCGAGGGGCATACTTAAACAATTACTGCTTGTTTGAAATTCAAATATAATTGGGTGTCTTGTATTTTATATGGCAAAGTTATACTCTGATTCCACCTGGAGGAAGCCAGTTATGTGCACCTGAACACGTTAGCCCAGGGGCACAGGAAGTACCAACTCCAGTGCAATTCAGCAGAATTTTCTGTGATGATGGACACATTCTACGCCTGCGCATCCAATACAGATGTGAGCAACTTGAAGCGTGGTGAGACTGAGAAACTGAATTTTTGATTGAATTATTTAAAATGTCACATGTGGCTAATGGCTACTGTATTGGGGAGCACAACTCTAAAAAGAATAGTGCCCTTCAACTTAGCTACTGGGATTTAAGATCTAGTGACGGTTAAAATGACGGATGACTCAGGAATACACTCCTAAGTCTCTGCAGCTTAGATAGTGAGTAGCCCATTTCTGCACTAACATGTTTTGCTGTCAACATAATCATTCCGGCTTTTTCCTCCCGCCCCTGTATTTACTGAAGATGTATGGAGAGGATGTGAAGGCCCAGGGTACAGGTACATGTGAAAAGGACAGTGAACAAGGTTAGGTAGAATCCTTCAACAAACTTATCCTAGTAGATAACAGTGTTAACTGAATAATCTCAGCATTAGAATATAAAAGCTGGGGCCAGGTGCAGTGGGGCTCAGTACTGTAATCCCAGCAGTTTGGGAGGCCGAGGTAGGAGGATCACTTTAGGCCCCAATTTGCAGACCAGCCTGGCCAACGTCGGAAACACCATGTCTAAAAACACAAAAACTAGCCGGGCCTGGCAGTACGCACCTGTAATCCCAGCTACTCGGGAGGCTGAGGCAGGAGAATCGCTTGAACCTGGGAGGTGAAGGTTGCAGTGAGCTGACACTGTGCTACTGCACTCCAGCCTGGGCAACAGAGCGAGAATCTGTCTCAAAAAAAGAAAGAAAGAAAACATAAAAGCTGTGAGGTTCCATTGTCTCAAAATAAACATTAAGTGGATGAAACAGCACAGATTTGATCACTCGAGCTGTGTGACCATTTTCTTTCCATGATTTTAAGCAAACATCTATGAAGCCTAGACCCAGAGCATATTAAAGGGAATTATTTGCTGCATAATGACATCTAGTAGAGAACAGGCCCTTTAAAGAATTAACAACAATCTAGGTGGCTTAGACGTATCAATATACATGAAGTCTGGAGAGGTTAGTGTAGAAACTGGGAAAATGGTAAGAGTGTCGAAAACAAATGGGGTATGATCCTAAACCTTACTCTGTTCCTGGTAGCTGGGTAAGGTGAGTAGGTAATATTTAACAATGATTTATAGATATATATTTTTATATAGAAATTCAGATAATCACACTCTGGGCAGTGAAACAGCTTTCTGGGCTAAAAAATATCTATTCTCTGTGTTTTTTTTCTTTTTACCAGATATTTGCGATTCCACTAAATGTCAGGCCCTCTGGTAGATGCTGGGACGTAACAGTGAATGAATAGACAGACCAAATCCCTAGCTACGGAGCAGAGTTTAATGGAAAGAGGCAAACAACAAAAATCTGATAAATAAAACTTCAATCTGCATTTTAAAGAATCTAAACAGGGACCGGGCGTGGTGGCTCACGCCTATAATCCCAGCACTTTGGGAGGCCGAGATGGGTGGATCACGAGGTCAAGAGATGGAGACCATCCTGGTCAACAAGGTGAAACCCTGTCTCTCCAAAAAAAAAAAAAAATACAAAAATTGGCCGGGCGCGGTGGCTCACAAGGTCAAGAGATGGAGACCATCCTGGTAAACATGGTGAAACCCCATCTCTACTAAAGATACAAAAAATTAGCTGGGCGTGGTGGCGTGCGCCTGTAATCCCAGCTACTCAGGAGGCTGAGGCAGGAGAATTGCCTGAACCCAGGAGGCAGAGGTTGTGGTGAGCCTGGATCGTGCCATTGCACTCCAGCCTGGGTAACAAGAGTGAAACTGTGGGTCAAAAAAAAAAAAAATACAAAAATTAGCTGGGCATGGTGGTGCATGCCTGCAATCCCAGCTACTCAGGAGGCCGGGGCAGGAGAATTGCTTGAACCCAGGAGGCGGAGGTTGAAGCGAGCCGAGATCGCGCCATTGCACTCCAGCCCGGGTAACAAGAGCGAAACTCTGTCTCAAAAAAAAAAAAACAAAAAAGAATCTAAACTGGATGAGTAATAGAACATAATTTGAGGTGGGAAAAGGAGAAAGCTTACTTTCTTGTGTCTCTATTTATACTTTTAAGAAAAAATCAATTTGCCATGCGTGGTGGCTCAAGCTTGTAATCCTAGCACTTTGGGAGGCCAAGGCAGTAGGATCACCTGAGGTTGGAAGTTCAAGACTAGCCTGACCAACATGAAGAAACCCCATCGGTACTAAAAATATAAAATTAGCTGGGTGTGGTGGTGCATGCCTGTATTCCCAGCTACTTAGGAGGCTGAGGCAGGAGAATAGCTTGAACCCAGGAGGTAGAGGTTGCGCCATTACACTGCAGCCTCGGCAACAAGAGCAAAACTCCATCTCAAAAAAAAAAAACACCTTGGTTATTTTGGTTGACAGTCTACACAGAGATTTTATAAAGGTTAACCTCTCCTCACCCCATTCTATTAGGTTGGTGCAAAAGTAATTGCAGTTTTTGCCACTGAAAATAATTGTAAGAACCACAATTACTTTTGCACCAACTTAGTTTCAGCTTTCTTAGATACTTAATGTCATAGGTTTTCTTCCATACAGTTCTCTGTTTACTCTCATCAGTCGTGTGTGAGTGTATTTCGCTGGATTGTTTTGTGTAGCTTCGTAACATTCCATAGTGTACATGGATGTCTCACTATGTCAATGGTATTCTTCTTTATGCTTATTTAAATGTTTTACATTTATGATTAGGTTTTTTTCCCTCATTAGTTTTGATTTGTTTTGTTTTGACACTTATTTATGCTTATTTAAATGTTTTACATTTATGATTAATTTTTTTTCCCTCCTTAGTTTTGATTTGTTTTGTTTTGAGGCAGAGTCTCACTCCGTCACCCAGACTAGAGTGCAGTGGCGTGATCTTGGCTCACTGCAACCTCTGCCTCCTGAGCTCAAGTGATTCTCCTGCCTCAGCCTCCCGAGTAGCTGGGATTTCAGGCATGTGCCACTCTGCCTAGTTAATTTTTGTATTTTTAGTAGAGATAGGGTCTTGCCATGTTGGACAGGCCAGTCTCAAACACCTGATCTCAAGTGTTCCACCCACCTCAGCCTCCCAAAATGCTAGGACTACAGGCATGATCCACCATGCACCGTCTCTCATGACTGTCCTTACACATAACCTTACCTAGTGGGACCTTTATTCTAGATTGTTGACACTCTCTCTTTCCAAGAGTCTATTAATGAAATGTACTGGATATTCTCAGGAAAAGTTCTCAAAAATTATATGACAATGGCAATTCTTCCTCACACTTGGCATTCCTGAGTGTTACTAGCTTTAGTGCTTGTCCATTCATGGGTAAGAAATAGCATCCCTTTGCTGTATTAATATGCATCATTTCGAACTACTAGGAAGGTTTTGCTTCTTGTTTTTAATTTGTAATGGACATTTGAATTTAACACATGATATAAAGTACCGTTTAATCATTTTTTGTATTATTTTGTTTGTCTTTTTACTAACATTTTGCAGTTCTCTGTAAATTGAGGTTATTAACCCTATATATGTTTTCAAATCCTTTATCCGAATTTATTGCTCCTTTTACAACTATCTTCATATATATTTTGCCTTAAGCTACTTTTTGGCCTACATAGTCTGGGTCCTTTCCTATATGGCTTTTGTGTTTCCTTCTCACTTAGTAATGACACCCTCCCTCTGTACCCCCACCCCCACAGAATTAGGTATACAAAGGGTGTCCTAAAATGTCATCTCACATTTGTTATTTCATATTCAGATTTTTAATCCATTTCAGTAGGTCCTTCTCACTTAGTAATAACACCCTCCCACCCTCATTCCCAAATACATACATACATACGTACACACACACACACACACAGAGACACATACACACACAGAGACAAATACACACACACACACACACACAGAGACACATACACACACACACACACACGCACACACACACATTAGGTATACAAAGAGTCTCCTAAAATGTCATCTGACATTTGTTATTTCATATTCTCAGATTTTCAATCCATTTCGGTAGGTCTACTTTTTTTCTGAAAAAGAGCTGAGACCTGAGAGTGAAAAGGAGCTCACCAGAAGAAACATCAAATTACAGGCATTTCGGTAAACGTCTTGAATCAGCTCAATCTGTGAAATGCCTGTTCTTGGTGACAAGAAACCAGTGTGGCTGGAACAGCAAAGACAACAGCAGAAGAGACGAACAGAGGCCAGAGGTGGTCCCTGAGTGGACCCTCAGGTCTTAGAATGAATTTACTTCCATGTCTTGAACATGCAGGTGACCTGACTTTGGGTTTATAGAGATGAAGGAAATGCAGCAAGTGCCACTTTTAGAATGTTGATTTGAGTGAATGGTAGGGTCAGTTACTGAATTCAGAAAAACTGGAAGGGATATCAGGCTTAAGGAGTACGATGTTTATTCTTATGTCTTCGAAATATTCAGAGTGAAAGGCCTATTAGAGTTCTCAATGGAGATGTCAAGCAAAAATGTAAATTTGCATTTCAGAAAGGGACAGGCTAGAGATGTAAAATTGGAAGTTTCCTGCATATAGTCTTTGGAATTATAGTTACTGAAAAAGCCATTAATGAGACAGAACAGACTAGGGACCAGAACCAAGCTCTAGGTTTCTAAAATTTAGAGCACAGCATAGTCTGGTCATTTTGAGGTGAATGCTTAATGACAGGACAATTTGTTGTAGTGTAAATTTAGAGCCCTACACTTTTAGCTCTCATTATTAACAAATACAGCAAAGAATGGATATGGTTATCTGCCAGTGTCTATGAAATAATCTATAAACCAGAAAGAAGTCCTCACCAGAAACCGAACATGTTGCCAACTTGGATCTCAGACTTCCTGCCTGAAGAATTGTTAGAAAATAAACGTCTCTCGTTTCAGCCACCAACCTGTGGTATTTTGTTATGGCAGCCCAAGCCGTCTAACACAGATTTTAGTACCAAGGAGTGGGACGCTGCAGCAGGAAATACATAAAAATGGGGAAGTGGCTGAGGAAGTCGGTGATGTTTGGTAAAGTGAGTTTAAGGTTCATGATAGAAAAAGCCAATTGTGAAGGGACTATTGATAGAAATAGGGACATTAATGTCAATTCTGGCAAAGGCTCAGAAAGGAAGCAAGATGGAGAGAAAGCTTCCATTTTCTTAGAATCTTAGATTCATAATGATCATGAATAGAATGTTGGTTAAAATATGAACATTAAAAAACTCTAGTGAGGTCTTAGATGAAAATGAGGGACAGGTTTCTAGAGACTGCAGAAATTGCTGTCCTGTTACAATGTGTCAATGTGTAAGAACTTGGCTGAATTACACTCTAGTGTTTACTGGATAGTAGAAATTATAAGCAGTAAAACTGAATACTTAGCAGAAGAGATGTGTAATCAAAATATTGAAGGAGTGGTTTAGGTCCCCCTTATTGCTTATAGTAAAATGTGAGAGGAAAGAGACTAAAATGAAGCAATTTTAAAGTAAAACACAATCAGAAATTGGAGATTTGGAATAGATTTCTCAATCTGTCCATATTGTAAAAGTTGAGAAAGCTTTCCTTAAAGATGTACGGTTGACCAATTATTTCTTTCTTTCTTTTTTTTTTTTTTTTTGGAGACAGGGTCTTGCTCTGCCATCTGGGCTGGAGTACAGTGGCACATTCTCAGTTCACTGCAACCTCTGCCTCTTGGACTCAAGCAATCCTCCCAAGTAGCTGGTACTATAGTTATGCACCACCACACCTTGGCTAATATTTTTGTTGTTGTTCAACGGGGTTTTGACACGTTGCCCACGCAGTCTCACTCTGTCACCCAGGCTGTAGGGCAGTGGCACAATGTCAGCTCACTGCAACCTCTTCCTCCCAGGTTCAAGTGATTCTCCTGCCTCAACCTCCTGAGTGTTGGGGATTACAGGCACCTGGCATGATGCTCAGCTAATTTTTGTATTTTTGGTAAAGAAGGGGTTTCACCATGTTGGCCAGGCTAGTCTAGAACTTCTGACCTCCAGTGATCCACTGGACTCGACCTCCCTAAGTGCTGGGATTACAGGCATGAGCCACCAGGGCTGCCACTTTCATCTCAGACTCAGAGAGTACAGACAGGGTAGGGTGAGGGTAGAAACAGGTAGTTAAGGCTGACTCCAGCTAAGTTTCAAAGGATGCCCTGCAGAGCTGCATGGGAGACTCCCTCACAGACAGCTGCCTGGGTGGGACCCCACCAAACTCAAAGAATGAGACCTCAGGCAGGGCAGATAGAGTAGACCACCCACAGAGTCAGAGGTGACGCTGCAACCCCAGTGGGCCTGAAACTCAGGAATTCAAGCCAAGGAGTTTCCTTAAAATCTAACCAAATTTGCCTTGCCAGGTTTTGGCCTTGATTAGGACCCATCATGCCTTCCTTCTTTCCTGTTTCTCCAATTTCAAATGGGAATGTCTATCCTATTCCTGTTTCACCACTGTACCTTAGAAGCATGTAATGTTTCTGGTTTCAAACAGGTTCAAAGCTGGAAAAAAAATTTGTCTCCAGATGAATCATACATTGAGTATCACCCATAACCTGATGTAGATGATTTTTAGGTAACACTTTTAACTTTAGAATAGATGCATTTTAGCATCAATTTAGAGTTAAGATTTTCAGGGGGCTGTTGGGATGGAATAAATTTATCTCGCATGGGAGGACATGCATTTTGGCAGTCAGGGACAGAATGTTATAGATGAAACTGTCCCCTGAAATTCATGTTAAAACCCTGAACCCCAATGTAACCGTATTTGGAGATAGGGCCTTCAGGAGGTATATGAAACGAAAGATCATAGAATAGGGCTCTAATCCCATTAGGGCTGGTGTCCTTACAGACGAGAAGGAGACACTTAGATCACACTCTCCTCTCAGGGACCAAAGAAACACCATAAACACATAGTGAGATGGCAGCCATCTCTAAGACAGGAACTCACCAGAAACTATGCTGGCTCCTTGATCTTAAACTTCCAGGCTCCAAAAGTATAAGAAAATAAATTTCTGTTCCAAGCCTTAGATCTGGGGAAAAAAAATTCTGTTGTTTAAACCATCCACTTTCTGGTATTCTGTTATGGCAGCCAAAGTAGGCTAAGACAATGAAGGATGTGGCAAAACTTTACGTCCCAACATCATACCAATGAGGCTGGAGTTTAACACTTTCTTCTTTCAACTATAGGCGATGTGTACAAGTTGTAAATTCTCACACATATTGGCTCCCTTACTTTACCCAAACTACAACTCAAACAACTATAATAATAACAACCAATGAAGTGCTGATGTTTCTTCAACATGGCTATACTAATAATTCAATGACTGATAATTCATTTTAGGTTGAAATGTATATGCCACATTCCAATTTCTGCTGAAGGTGCAATGGTTATATTTGTTCTTTTTAAAACAGATTCATCAGGCTAGGCAGGATGGCTCATGCCTGTAATCCTAGCACTTTAGGAGGCTGAGGCAGGCAAATCTGAGGTCAGGAGATTGAGACCGGCCTGGCCAACATAGAGAAACCTGTTGGGGTCCGGCACGTCTGCCGGGGGGCTACCGACCTGCGGGAGTCCCCGAGACCGCCAACATAGATGCCTCGTTCAACCTGAGGGAGAGTGTGCGCGGAAGTAAAAGAAAAGAGAAAAGCAGAGTCTGGAGGGCTGGCTCAGGCTATGTCCAAGCAGCAATTTTATTTTTGCAATATGTTCCAATATATACTTTTCTGAAGTTAATGTTGTTTACGCCAGATCAACATACTTAAGTTACAGTAAGCAAGTTACGCCCAGTAAGTTAAGCCCAGTAAGTCAGTTACGCCCAGTAAGTTACAGTAAGTAAGTTACACCCAGCAAGTAAGTTATGCCCAGTAAGTACTTAACAATTGTAAGCAAGTTACAGTTACGCCCAGTAAGTTATGGTAAGTTACAGTTACACCCAGTACGTTATGGTAAGTTACAGTTACACCCAGTTAAGTTATGGGGTAAGTTACCAAGTGTAAATACTTAAGTTAATATTTTACAATGAAGGTAACAAGGGTCCAAAATGAACACAATCAAGCAATAAACCATAAGGAGCCAAAAGTGGACACAATGCCTCCCAAGCCCTCATATCCATAAAGTAATGTCTGTTAATTATTTTGAATAACATAGTCCCTTTCTCGGTTCCTGCTTTCCCTCAGCTCGACTCCCCCAACCGGGGATCTGTGTCCGGGCTCAAGCTCACCGTGTGGCGAGGCCCATCTCCTAGGGGCCTCACATGGGAGTGATCCCCACAGATCCCTCAGAAACCCTGTCTCTACCATAAATACAAAAATTAGCCAGGCATGGTGACACGTGTCTGTAGCCCTAGCTGCTTGGGAGGCTGAGACAGGAGAATTGCTTGAACCTGCGAAAAGGAGGTTGCAATAAGTTGAAAACTGCTCCATTACACTCCAGTCTGGGTGACAGAGCAAGACTCCATCTTGAAAAAATAAATAAGGCCCGGCGTGATGACTCATGCCTGTAATACCAGCACTTTGAGAGGCCGAGAGAAGTAAATCACAAGTCAAGAAATCAAGACCCACCTGGCCTACATGGTGAAAGCCTGTCTCTACTAAAAATACAAAAATTAGCAGGGCGTGGTGGCGCAGTCCCAGCTACTCAGGAGGCTGAGGCAGTAGAGTCGCGTCAACCTTTCCTCCTTCCCTTAAATTCTTTAGAGATTAGGAAGCCATGCGTAACATTCTGGTATGTGGACAGAGTTTACCCATTATGTATGGCTCCTCATTCTAGTTTCCTGACCGTAATCTCGGAGGGAGATTGGTCATAAAATAGTCAGCAGTTTGTAAGTTCTTTTTTCCTGGCCTTGGAGCTTAAGACAGTTCTTTACGCAGTTTTAGTTTGCTCATCTCAAGATTCAGAATAAGGATAAAACCTATCTCTCAAATTGTTGGATTAAATGAATTAACACACTGGAAGCTCATTAAATATACCTGGCACACAGTAAGTGCCTAATAAGCCATCTCTTTGATGCAGCCTGTGTTCTGATTTTGGAATCTACACTTACTGAGCCAGGCTCTTTTCACTGCAAGTAAGCAAAAGCATACAAGGAAGAGATGGCCTGAAGAGGTTAAGCCTGAGGCCAAGGTTTCTCACCTATTGGGAGGTGGGATCAAAGGCAATTTGGCCTGGGAATAAAAAGGATTCCAAGGCCCATATAAAGCAATTCCAACCTAAGGACCCAAGTTCTCAGACACACAGGAAATGCTTAGGGGAAGAATCCGGTCCTCACAGCAGACTCTGGCCAAGAGCCCTGTGAAGCCAGACCTTCCTCAATTCTGATGATTCTTACCCCAGCTGCCCATCAGAATCGTTGTAATTTTAAAATATCCTCGGAAAATTCTAACATGTGACCATCAAAAGTGATCAATTGCTTTTATGCCACTTTGTTTTCACCCAAGCGGTACCTTTTCCTTTGAGGGTAGTTGTAGGGGAAAAAGTGGGTAGAGGGAGGGAAGGGCGGAAAAGCCTGGACCCGCTCCAAACCGGTGCCAGTATCCGGGAAGTAGGAGGTCAGCAGTAAACAGCTTCTACTTGGATTATTATTAATATCATCTTCTGCCACACAGTCAGGTTTGGAGGCTTGAAAGGATTTCATGCAAAACGCTTCAGTGGAGTTCCAGAAGCATTTGACTAAACGACTGAGTCTGTTTGGCCAGTCTGAGCAGATGGGCGCTGAGGCATGAGTAAGACTTACCCGCCCCAGACTTCCTTACCCACTTATTTCCGAACACAGCAGAAACTGGACGGGTGCAGTGCCTCATGCCTGTAGTCCCAGCGCTTTGGGAGGCCGAGGCGGGCTATCACTTGAGGTCAGGAGTTCGAGACCCTGTCTCTACTACAAATAAAAAAATTAGCCAGGCGTGGTGGCATGCGCCTGTAGGCCTAGCTACTCGGGAGGCTGAGACAGGAGAATTGCTTGAACTTATGAGAAGCCTGGCTAACAGTGAAAGCCCATTTATACCAAAAATACAAAAATTAGCCAGGGATAATGTTGCACGACTGTAACAGGTACTCAGGAGGCTGAGGCAGGAGAATCGCTGAACCGGGGAGGCGGAGGTTGCATTGCAGTAAGGCGAGATCTCGCCACTACACTCCAGCCGAGGCAATAATAGCAAAACTCCATCTCAAAAAAAAAAAAAAAAAGCAGAGAAACCAAGATCTGGAAGAAAACCTCGGCGAGACTCACAGATTCCAGGAAAATAGGTCCCTAGAAATTTGTCCATGGTCCCAGAACTCCATTTCCTGTGGGTGGAGCAGCTGTCGCTAGAACCCTAGAAGCAAAGAGGCTTTTGTTTGTTTTTGAGAGTTTGTCGCGCCATATCGGGTCACTGCAACCTCCGCCTCCCAGGTTCAAGCGTTTCTCCTGCCTCAGCCTCCTGAGTAGCTGTAACTAGTTACATGCTACCACGCCCAACTAATTCTATTTTTAATTTTTTTTTGTTATGGGGATTTCACCATGTTGGCCAGGTTGATCTCAAACTCCTGACCTCCGGCGATTCGCCCTCCTTGGCCTCCCAAAGAATTACGGTCACAAACCTAAGCAGAAACAAAGGTTTACTGAAAGGTCACAAACCTCACTGTATCCCCTTTTCTGGCTGCACTGGAAATCTAGATGCTTGAGCCTCTTAAAGTATTACTAACTTGATTTTGTTGAATGTCAAACGTTGTTCTAGATTAGGGATACCTTTCAACTCTCTGGTTAAGTTTTCGACAGTATACTCTGCACACTGGCAGAAACAGAACCTAGAAGTCTTAACAGAATTACGGAAGGCAGGCTGCCTGCAGCCTAAAATGAAAAAATAGAAAGGGGACTCCAAACAAGGTTACCATCCCGCTACCTTCAATTTTTCTAAAAGTAATCAGAAGTTTTTAGACCACGAGGCATCTCTGCACATAAACTAGCTAAGCACTATGATCGATTTACAAAACGTTACCTAGAATATTTAGTTAGAACATGATAGTGCTTGACATTACATACCTAGCTGACCTACTATTACATACAAGCAGACCAACCTTTTGTACCAGGGTTTCCCAAAAAACTTAAAAGCAGGAATACACTTTGCTCCAGGGTAGGATAAAATTAACTTACCTTAGCACTTTTTCTAGTACCTACAGGCAGTGAGGTTAGCTCTTCCTTTGAAACGGTAGGGGGGGCTCTGAAAAGAGCCTTTGGGTTTGGTAGTTTCCGGAAGCTCAGATGCCTGTGAAATCACTTGCCCTTGGCCTTGTGGTGGCTCTCGGTCTTCTTGGGCAGCAGCACGGCCTGGATGTTGGGCAGGACGCCGCCCTGAGCAATTGTCACCCGGCCCAGCAGCTTGTTGAGCTCCTCGTCGTTGCGGATCGCCAGCTGCAGGTGGCGCGGAATGATGCGGGTCTTCTTGTTGTCGCGGGCCGCGTTGCCCGCCAGTTCCAGGATCTCGGCCGTCAGGTACTCCAGCACAGCCGCCAGGTAGACCGGCGCGCCGGCCCCGACCCGCTCGGCGTAGTTGCCTTTGCGGAGCAGGCGGTGCACGCGGCCCACGGGGAACTGGAGACCAGCGCGAGAGGAGCGGGATTTCGCTTTGGCGCGAGCTTTGCCGCCCTGCTTACCACGTCCAGACATGGCAACCAAACAAAAAAAAACACACAAAAAAGCACCAAAGCAAAAAGCCTAGCCTCACGCGAAAACAAACAAGATCAAGAAATATGTAAAACATGGCTGCTTTTATAGCTATTTCCTGGGGAGTAAATACGACCTTCTGATTGGCCGGTAGCAACTGCCAGTCAGGCGGCCAATAGAAAAGCAGCACTTTCATACCTTATTTGCATAGTTCGGCCCATGGATGACAACTGTACAGTTTGTCTTCCAATTAACTAAGAGGTGCTCCCCATCCCTCATTAGCATAAAAGCCCTATAAGTAGCAGAAATCCGCTCATTGCTTTCTACACGTTTCTGGTGTTTTAAGATGCCTGAGCCAGCGAAGTCCGCTCCCGCCCCGAAGAAGGGCTCCAAGAAGGCGGTGACCAAGGCGCAGAAGAAGGACGGCAAGAAGCGCAAGCGCAGCCGCAAGGAGAGCTACTCCGTGTACGTGTACAAGGTGCTGAAGCAGGTGCACCCCGACACCGGCATCTCCTCCAAGGCCATGGGCATCATGAACTCCTTCGTCAACGACATCTTCGAGCGCATCGCGGGCGAGGCCTCCCGCCTGGCGCATTACAACAAGCGCTCGACCATCACCTCCAGGGAGATCCAGACGGCCGTGCGCCTGCTGCTGCCTGGGGAGCTGGCCAAGCACGCCGTGTCGGAGGGCACCAAGGCCGTCACCAAGTACACCAGCTCCAAGTAAACTTGCCAAGTAAGCGTCTTAACACCTAACCCCAAAGGCTCTTTTCAGAGCCACCCACCTAATCACATAAGAGCTGTGGTCGGACTGCTACTTTCACTTGCCTGGGGGGGGATATAGAAGGCAGCGATTGCAGCGTGGGGTGGGAAGAAGCATTGCATCTTAGAGAGGGACAAAGGAGTCTGTACCCTGAAAAAGAGAACCGTTCAAAATGGGTTTCGGGTCGCTTCGCTACGCGTTTATTCAAAATGGTGACAAGCGGCCATTTTGCTGAACAGATCACGAACACGTACCGCGTTACCTCAGCCTGGCGTAGGTTTGGGACCCAGCGGTCTCGCTGTTTGCGACGCCAGCATCAACGGCTGTCTGAAAGTTAATTTCGCCACCGGGTTCTAGCCAATAGGCTGTCCTACAGTCATTTTTAACATTAGCCAATCGAGAGAAAGCTGGTTTGAGACCCATATTTACATAGCGGACTGGAGTGAGAACCTGGGCAGTCACTGTCTAAGGAAGGACACCCCCTCTGTTTTCGTGGCGCACAATTTCGTAGTATACTGAGACTGTGTCTCGGGTTTTTAACTGCCCCGGTAATACGGTCTTTTAACCTAATACTTCTCAGTTTAGTTAACAAGACTAAAGCATAACAGAAATAACGTTGATGTAAGCACTGCTCCAGATGTTACTTCAGGCATCTTATTCAACTGGCTTATCTATTTAAGATTCAAGCCAAATTTTATTTTGAATCGCAGTGCTTAGCCATTGTGTGTTACCTAACTGAAATTTAAAATCTCCTTAGGGGGCTTGTAACATGCACAAAACATTGAAAGTTGATTTAGGAGAACCCAACTCTAAGTGCTAGGTAAATTGACAAGCCTACACTGAACATTGAACTGAAGGTGAGTAAGGACTAGGCTCTGAATGAGACAATGAAGAGGAGGCGCCATTAAATTTGCCATACACCGAGTCTCCTAGAGGATGTTCCCTTCCTAGACCACTTATGGCCTGGGAAATTCCACATTTCCTTAAGTATTTTACTCATGGTCTTTTCCAGGCAAAGATTTTAAGATGAAATATTAGAAGTAGTTTTCTTATCTGTTTTTATTCAAGTCTGGAACACGTTTTTAGCAGCGAGAAGTGAGGTTTGCTTTCCCCATTAAAGACTGGGAATGGGTCGGGCGCGATGACTCTCGCTTGTAATCCCAGCACTTTGGGAGGCCGAGGTGGGTGCATTACGAGGTCAGGAGTTTGAGACCAGCCTGGCCAAGATGGTAAAACCCGTCTCTACTAAAAATATAAGAAGTAGTTGGGCGCAATGGCCAACGCCTGTAATCCCAGCTACTGAGGAGGCTAAGGAAGGGTGATCGCTTGAACACGGGAGGCGGAGGTTGCAGTGAGCCAAGATCGGGCCACTGCACTCTACCTTGGGTGACAGAGAAGACTCCGTCTTATAAAAACAAACAAAAAAACGAGAATATTGAGAATATACGATAAATAAAGTTATGTTACAGCAGATTTTTAAAAATTTAGATAAATATGTAATTTAGGTTAGAGTCATTTAACATAAGGACTGTATGATCACAAATGTGCAATTTCTTTCACACCTGGAAAATAAACTAAGGCCAGTGTTTGGTGCCAGACAAGGCCTTATAGTTGAACACTGCTGTAAAAAATCAAGTTTCCAGAGTCTCTCACCAACTAAATTCTTCTATGCCGCTAATGGACCTGGTCAAAGCCTTATTTCCGTTCAGACTGACCCCTCTTCTACCTGCCAACAAACTAATCAGTGTCACCGAAATCCGAAAACAAAATTCAGTATTCTCAAACGGATTCCAAGTTCTTTCCCCGCCTTCTCCCCTTTCTCTTACATAAATTATGTTTTTGCCTTTGTTGGATGAAATAATTCTATTGCTTGTTCTGTCTTCCATACAAGTGCACAGAAAGCAAATCATTAACTCCTTGATCATTTATTTCTGAATTTTCCACCAGGACACTATATATATGAGTCACACAATAGGAGGCAACAGGAATGTGTGTCTTGGAAACGTCTTGTCCTGTCCTGGACCCTTACCATCCACATTTGTTTCTTGTTTCTGTTATTCTGATTGCATTTGGCTGATTGGTTGCGTATTGGGAGCAGTGGTGGAATTTCAATCATGGTTTTCTGGTCACATCATTAAGTGATTAGCCAGTGGTGAGGACAGGAAATCTCGTTTATTTCTTAACATTTTTTGGAGTGTTGGCATTTTAAGATGTTGATATTCAATGTGAGAACACAGGGTTAGAGAGTTGGTGTTTTTATTTCTGGCTTTTGATGGGCTCCACTGTTCGGTGTTTTATGCTTTCATACCTATTTCCACCTTCCAAAACTCTTGAGTCCAAATAGTTGTCAATGTCTGCAAAACCAGCATTCCTGTGTTAAGATTATATGAATGTAAAATGGCTGCCCTGTTTAACTTTTGGCTTTAAAAGGCCTCCTTTTAAAGTCTGGGACTAACACTAGACAGAAAGGAAATCAAGGAAACCAAATGCCTGGTCTCAGTAATTTCTATGCGAAAGACTCGAAAGCTCATTATCAATATTTAGTAATATCAAAGTATTGGGTTCTTTAAGGGTAGAGAATAGAAGAAACAAATTATATAAATTGGACTGAGTCAGGAAAAAAGAGTGCTTTCAATACCTGAATAAAACAAAGATTTAAAATATTCTAAACTTTAATGAGTTTACTATAAGGGACATAATAACACTGGAAACTAGAATTTTCTACTAAACTGAGAATCAGAATTATATTCTCAGCAATGGTGCCACCTGAGGGACCTCTGATCTTAATTGCATGCCTTTATTTCTTTGACTGATCAACATACTAGGTAGATAACCTATGACTCTGTTTACCTACTTAAAATCTGTTCTCGTCGCACAGTTAGCTTTCCTCATTTGCAATAATATTAAGACTATCTTTTTTTTTCTTTTGAGACAGCTCTGTTCTGTCACCCAGACTGGAGTACAGTGGCACCATCTTGGCTTATTGCAGCCTCTGCCTCCCAGGTTCAAGTGATTCTCCTGCCTCAGTCTCCTGAGTAGCTGATAATACAGGCTCACCATCACGCTCACGCCCGGTTAATTTTTTTTTTATTTTTAGAAGAGATGGGGTTTCACCACGTTGGCCAGGCTGGTCTGGAACTCCTTACCTGAAATAATCACCTTGGCCTCCCAAGTGATGGGATTACAGGGGTGAGCCACCATCCCTGCCAAGACTGTCTTATTTTATAACTATAAATAATTGTGAGATTATCCACCTCATCAGGGGATTAATTAACTATAATGTAATCTTAAATTTTAGTTGGCTTTTTATTTTAATCGGGCTGACTATATATGGCTCATATTTTTTTTAATCAAGTTGGCTTTTAATAAGAATTAAAATACATCAATTTTAATAAAAACTCGTTTATCTAAAAAAATCAAAAATTTTCATTGTGCTTTAAATGTGCTACCTCTTTAAATTGTAACTCAAAGAAACAGTTTAACTAAGTTTCATTAGTGGTCTTATTTAAACATGTTAAAGTGTTTTGTAAAGAAAAAAAATAGTACTCCACTATTTTTAAATAACTTAAAAATGTTAATACCTGATATGCTCTTTTATAGAGAAAAACATCATATAATATTTCTTTTCTTCTTTTTTTTTTTGAGTCATAGTCCTGCTCTGTTGCCAGGCGCCAGGCTGGAGTGCAGTGGCACAATCTCGGCTCACTGCAACCTCCGCCTCCTGGCTTCAAGCAATTCTCCTGTCTCAGCCTCCTGAGTAGCTGGGAGTACACCCAGCTAATTTTTGTACTTTTAGGAGAGACAAGGTTTCACCATGTTGGCCAGGATGGTCTCGATCTCTTGACCTGGTTATCCGCCCACCTCAGCCTCACAAAGTGCTGGGATTACAGGCTTGAGCCACCAAATCCCGCCCATCATATAATATTTTTAATCAAGATGATCTTTTGGACAAATTGTCTGGCTTAATAATTACATTTTAAAGGTGGCTTTTTCTTCTTAATATAAAAATAATATTAGTCTAACATTATAGTTTACACCAGTCTAGGGTTCATTTTCTAAAAACAAAAACTAATTTAATTAGAATTTACTAAATTTCTTCCACTAGGTTTACTGGTTAGATGAGTTAACATCACTTGATTTATAATTTTAAAATTGTAAATTATTAATTGAACCAAATTAAATCATAATAGATGTCATTTTTTTAGATGAAATTTTATGTTACAAATTATAAGGATTCAATGTGTGAGCTTAAGTACTGAATTCATAATGTATGATAATTTTAAGAATTTAAGTGAACATTATTAAATTGAGTACATTACTGCTTAATCTTTGGATACCTGCACAATTTCTAAATTAGAGGGTACAAAATGCACATCCCCAAAAACAGTTTACTTTATGCAAATAACATGTTTTTACACAGTTTAGAATAACCATTGATTAACAGGTGAGAGAACATACAATTGCCTTAAAAAAGATACTCTTGTTTTTCCACTTTAGATTTGTAAAAGGAATATGTACTGTATCCGTGTGGGCCCAGAGGACCATGCAGGTTTTGGATGACTGCCTCTGTTTTCTTGAGGGAACACATTTGCCTGCTTTGTTTGAGGGCTGTTGTTAATCCAAGCATCTCTGACTCTATCAAGTACTATAGCTAAGGAGAAACGTACGGAAGCATTCAAAATAATGACTACCTAGAGCCTTTACTTATTTATAAAGTCGTTATTGGCTGGGTGAGGTGGCTCATACCTATAATTCCAGCACTTTTGGTAGGCCGAGACAGGCGGATCAGGAGGTCAGGAGATGTAGACCATTCTGGTGAAAATGTTGAAATCCCGTCTCTACTGAAATCCACAAAATTAGCCGGGCATGGTGGTGCGTGACTGTATCCCAGCTACTCGGGAGACTGAGGCAGGGGAATTGCTCGAATCCCGGAGGCTGAGGTTGCAGTGAGTCGAGATCGCGCCACTGCACTCAGGTTTGGTGACAGAGCAAGACTCAGTCTCTAAGAAAAAAAAAGTTGTTAATGTAGTAAATTCCATTTACTATGAGTTGTCACTCTAAAATATTTTATTAATCTTTTTAGAACTTTTATTCATATTATATTGTATTCATATCTTATGTAATAACCAATCTTTGATATTATAACAATGCTGGAACCTCCATTTTCAGTACCTTAAACAAAAAAATACTGCTTTTATGTTTCAGAGCAGATGGATATGTGCTTCCCAGTATAAACACATTAGGAATCCCATTGGGATATACACTGTCACTAAAAACACAGTTCTGAGATTGATTAAAAGACCTCCAGAATTCTGGAAATAGGAAGTTTTTTTTTTCAAATTCTGCAGATGAAGAGGTCTGGAATAGACAACTTCCTCTTTTACCTGTGGTATTATTCTGCTTTCTTCTTGTCTCCATTATCTATCTTTCCCATAATTACATTTTGATCTGGCCTTCCCAAGTATTAAAAAACCTCAAATAAACAAATCTCAGTTATATTTTATTAAGAGATTGGCATGTTAACTTTTTGTAGGTTTGTAACAAGGACCTTTATACTGCTATTAAAAGTTCCTAAATAAGAATGCTTACGAGGTGATTTATTTCTGCCTATGACCTACATTTGAGTGAAAATAATCAACTATGAAAAATGAAGTTCTTTAACTAAAGCTGACCAAACTGATCTTTGAGACTTGTTCATCTAACTAAGACAAGCCAATTAAGTTCTTGGAGACAATGTATCTTTGAAGGAATTCTTATAATATTTGTAATTACTCTCATAACCTTTTTTTTTTTTTTGCCCTATTTCTCTCCTTCTCTAATATGCAAATGATAAGTGTTGTTACAAAGCCATTGTCAAAAAAAAAAAGACTAAAACTCACATTGTAAAACTCACTCCTTTATGAGATATTTTTACCCCAAATGTGGGAGTTGAAAAACTAATGGTGAAGACATGGCCTATCTAAATGGAATTTTTTTTTTTTTTTTTTTTTTTTTTGAGATGGAGTCTTGCTCTGTCACCAGACTGGAGTACAGTGGCAAGATCTCAGCTCACTGCTTCTGGGTTTAAGTGATTCCTCTGCCTCAGCCTCAGCCTCTCCAGTAGCTGGGATTACAGGAGAGGGATTATATGAACCATCACGCCCAGCTATTTTTGCATTTTTTTTTAGAGACGTGGTTTCATCATGTTGGTCAGGCTGGTCTCGAACTCCTGACCTTGTGATCTGCCTGCCTCAGTCTCCCGAAGTGCTGGGATTACAGACAGGAGCCACCACGCTCAGCCTTGGAAATGTTGATTGTCAGTGGAAAGTATTATACAGAGATAGTCTGCCACAGTGCTGCACAGCCCATCTTAAGTGCTTCTAGAGAATCACTAATTGTTTTCTTTTAAAGTTCTTGGTTTATATGAGACTATCCATACTAAACTCTTTTCCACTGAAAATAATCCTATTCCTCAACAGTTTATAGGTTTTTCCTACTATTTCTATTATATAAAATCATATTTTTAAAATATCCTGAGTGAGATCTATCCATTGCTTGATATACCTTGTGTGCAAATAAATAGTATGCCAATAATTAACTAAATGTTTTTGAGTTACAGTTTTATAAACTCATCCATCCTGAGCCTATAGGGTGGTAATAATTGCCCTACTGATAAAGATGGGGTGATGATTAAATGAAATAACAACCACAGAACACTAGTTCCAGAAATGGTTTCATACCACTAAAATGGCTCACAGCATTGCTCCATTGAGGGATCTGTGGGGATCGCTCCCGTGTGAGGCCCCTAGGAAATGGGCCTCGCCATACAGTGAGCTTGAGCCCGGACACAGATCCCCGGTTGGGCGAGTCGAGCTGAGGGAAAGCAGGAACCGAGAGAGGGACTATGTTATTCTAAATAATTAACAGACATTACTTTATGGATATGAGGACTTGGGAGGCATTGTGTCCATTTTCGGCACCTTATGCTTTATTGCTAGATTGTGTTCATTTTGGACCCTTGTTACCTTCATTGTAAAATATTAACTTAAGTATTTCCACTTGGTAACTTTCTTACCATAACTTACTGGGTGTAACTGTACCTTACTTACCTTAACTTACTGGGTGTAACTGACTTACTGGGCTTAATTTACTTACTGGGCGTAACTTAGTGGGCGTAACTTGCTTACTGTAACTTAAGTATGTTGATCTGGCGTAAACAACATTAACTTCAGAAAAGTATATAATGGAACATATTGCAAAAATAAAATTGCTGCTTGGACATAGCCTAAGCCAGCCCTTCAGACTCCGCTTTTCTCTTTTCTTTCACTTCCGCGCATTCTCTCCCTCAGGTTGAACTAGACATTTACGTTGGCGGTCTCGGGAACTCCCACAGGTCGGTAGCCCCTCGGCAGACGTGCTGGACCCCAACACTCCATGATGACAGAAAGTGAAGCCTCTGGAGACAAACTCCAAGTTTGACTCCCAGATCACTGTGTATCAGCTGCGGGTCTCTGAGGCAGGTCATTTTATCTTTCTGTGCGTTAGTATCCTTCTCTACACCTTAATTTTGATGGTAATAGCACCTACCTTCCAGAAGCTTGTGAATCTTAAAGATCCTTAATGCATACAAACCACTGTGTTTGACCAATTTTATTTATAACCACCTTTACACTCCTAAAAGGACTTGAAGTAGCTTATGACTGAAGACTTCGGTAGGAGTTGGCCTTCCATCGGTTATAGGAATTTCATAAATTATTTGATATAAAAATGACAGTGGATCATACTATGTTTACCTGGGTCCAACAAAGTGGAAAAAATATATACTTTTTTCCCACACATATGAAATTGGCTTTCTAGGCATATTTTTAAGGACTTACAGAATGATAACTATCATTTCTCTTGATTCTTCCAGATTTGGAAGGGTATAATATATTCAGCACATTGCCAGACAATCCCAATAGTCCTAAATTGGAAGACATTAAAAGTTAATCTTTTCCTGTCTTTAGCCTGTGTAATCCTGGATGACCAAGCATAAATTAAGGAGAGTATACCACTGTCTGTAACCTTTTCTGAAAAGTATTTTAGGCTCTGAGCAAGTTTTTTGTTTTCTGAAGATCAGTCTGAATATCCTCAAGCATCATGAGTTCATTATAATTAAGAAAAAGGGAGTAAATCTGGAGAATGAGTTAGTTTCTTACTACTCCCCGGCCTCAGTTTGTTTGTTTTTTTCCAGAGACAGGGTCTCGCCCAGGCTGCCAGGCTGATGTGTAGTGGCACAATCGCATCTCGCTTCAACCTCAACCTTCTGGGCTAAAGTTATTTTCCTGCCTCAGACTCCTGAGTTTCTGGAACCACAACAGGTGCACACCACCATGCCCAGCTAATTTTTCTAAAAAGTTTTTTTGTAGAGATGGGGTCTTGCTATGTTGCCCAGGTTGATCTCAAACTTTTGGGCTTACGTGATCCTCCTGTCTCAGCCTCCCAAATTGTTAGGGTTACTAGCCTTAGTCACTGTACTCAGTCCCACCTCAGTTCTGAGCAACAAAAAATATGTCATAATAATGGGACTTTGATTTGCTGATTTAAAGATTCATGTATGCTTATCATCCAATATGAAATTTGTATAATAATTAGTGGAGACATCTAGTCTCACATTTCTACAGTTGCTCATGCCTTGATCTCTTTGCTTCTGGCTCAGAAGGGTCAAAGGGCAGAAATGATGGGGCTTGTCTCATTCTTTGAGGAAAAAGACCTATGTAGAGGAGGCTACCCTGTGGTAAAATCTTGTCCTCATCACTTAAAATTCTAGCTTTATTCTCTGACCATATCAAATTTTCAAACAGTAAAAGAATTGGATCCAGGAGAAATATGGATAAACTTTTTCTCTCAGTTTTCTCCCTCTTCTCGCCTTCTTGTCCCTTCCTTTATTTTCTTGTCCTTAGTTTTCTTTTCACTTTTTTCTCTACTATTATTGGCACAAACTCAGCTATAGGAGAGAATTAAAAAATATTGAAAATTAAAATGTGCCCCTTTTGTTATTGGACTTGCTTAAACAACTGGGGTAATGAACCTGGGACACTAGATTTTAAAATACACATATTTGGGCTTCAGTGCATGAAAGAAACATATTTTTAGAAATTAAAATATAAAATTGCATATTTAAGAATTCTACAGAAACATGGGGGGTGGGGACCAAAAAAAGGAAAATAAAAAGAATTCTACAGAAACAGTAAGAAACAATACAGGTTCTGAGATCTTGAATGGAAGGAAAACTGCTAGCCTCAAGAGTGGGTCAAAGATGCTCAGCAGGCAGCAGAGTCAGGGCATTTTGGAGGGTTTGGAGGAAATGCTCAGAGTTCCAGGCTCTAAAAATCAGAGACTGACCTTGGCCCATAAATAAGGCTTGAGTGGATTGGGAATTTTAATCAGCTGGAAATGAAGGGAAGGAGCCTCCATGCTGCTGGCATGTTAGCTGTGGCCTCGTGAGTGGTCTAGGACGGGCCTGAAAGAGATGAATCTTACCTGTAGGATACTCTAAACACCTGAATCGTGGCCCGATAGGCTCTGCCCCTGCCCAGATATGCACACACCTGCGTTTTCTTGTTTTCTGCCCTCCACATATGTTGGATGTCCTTTTTTTGATTCTTCCCCGGCCTTTCTGTCTGGCAAATGGCTACTCATTCTGCAGGCGTCTGCTTGGGCATTGCCTTCTCCCGGAGGCATCTCTGACCATTTCGACCGTCCTGTGTAACTAACCATCGCAGTTTGCACTTAATGTCATCACTTGTCCAGGTGTCACCCTCAACAGGCTCTTAGCTGTAGTTTGTTCACTACAATATCTCTGGGAGCCATGACTGAGCCTGGCACACAGGAAGTGCATAAAAATGATTGAATTTATCAATTCATTTAATAAATTTTTTGAATACTTTGTGTCGAGGACTGTTTTACATGTATGCACACATCAGTGAACAAAATTAAAAAATAAGTAGCCTCAGAGACCTAGGACTTAGGGGAGTAAGTAAAAAATAGAAAGAGTAAAATATTTGGTCTGTTACCAGGTAAGTGCCACAGAGGGAAAAACAAAAATAACAGAACAATGTAGGGGTTGAAGAATCACAATGATGAGTCAATGAATGAAATGGGGAGCATGAACCCCAATATCCAAGGGTTCAAGGGAGCATGCTGGTGTATCAAAGCCTTTGAGGTGCTAAAGGTTTGCTGAGGGATAACATTTGTTATAGGAGACCAGATCTGGGATTAAGGCCTGGGCAGGATGGGCTGGTGGGGATCTGCACTGCTCTGATGGCAATGTTGAGTTTGCTTCAGTAGATAAACCTCAGATCCGGCTGGGCGCGGTGGCTCAAGCCTGTAATCCCAGCACTCTGGGAGGCCGAGGTGGGTGGATCACGAGGTCAATAGATCGAGACCATCCTGGTCAACATGGTGAAACCCCGTCTCTACTAAAAATACAAAAAATTAGCTGGGCGTGGTGGCGTGTGCCTGTGATCCCAGCTACTCAGGAGGCTGAGGCAGGAGAATTGCCTGAACCCAGGAGGCGGAGGTTGCGGTGAGCCGAGATCGCACCATTGCACTCCAGCCTGGG